AATGGGCTGTTTTTTCACAGCTTAGTTTCCATATATGGACCAGTTTGTTTGAAACTTTAACAATGGGGAAAATCTGGTTTTCCATGATATGAGCTCTTTTGAAACTAAAGTCTCCCTAAGCGTTCTTGGCCTGGACATATCGTTCTAGAAAAATCTTGATACTTGCTACAGAACCTTTTAAAAGGTTCCTCACAGTCACACATTTCATTTGCCTAACACAGTTCTTTAATTAACCATCCATTAGCCACCGATTAGCATCTCACTTCCTCCCTGCAGTGATTTATCCACTAAGAGCTCCCATATAGCAGAACACATCTAATTTGATTCCTTCAAACAGCTTCATGATGAATAAAGTTCAGGTTCAGATAGCACAGCATCAGCAGAAGCTGTGGTAGATGATAACAGGCCATAATGCAGTTCCTCTCGGACCTTTCTGTGACTCAGCCTGAGCTTCTGCTTGTTTCCAAACAGAAGCACAGGGATTCTCGAGCATGTGCAAGTCACTGTCCTGCGCATTAAACATCCCTTTGGTCCAGGCCACAAAAACAAGCATGTTTTTATTATGTAAGTACAACATTATTTTCTTACAGTCTAACCCTGTTGTAATGACCGCCCTGGGCTTGAGCCGTCAAAACTGGCCGGCCATAAATAGCTGACGTGTACATGCCTGTCAGACTGGCTGAGAGTGGACAGCATGCCACTGATGCCCACATCTGCACCCGTCCTCGTCCTGTTCTCATCAGTCAGGGCCCTCTCAAGCTCAACAAATAAATGAACACAACTTCAGAGGCCTTTTTTTTTTGTATTATAGCTACAACGTTTAATTATAAGGCCAGTGTCCTAACCTACAATGCTATTTTAGAAGTCCTCATTAAGATAATCCTATAAATAAACAAAGCAAGACAGGCTAGACTCACTGGCCTTAAAACGGAGATGATGAGTAAACTCTTCATACTCATAAAGAGTAATGATGAAGCACATCCTCTGCATTAGGCCGATCGATGGACTCTCAAAACTCCTGACAAATCGATTATGTAATACACATAATCTCCGTCCACTTGAATCTCTACCAAAAGACACCTGCAAATTACCTCATCACATGCTCATTCAAGCCCTGACCAATGGACGATCTGGAGCTAGTTCTGACAGTTTTTCCCTCCTTCATTGCTAGACATAGACTTTAGCTATCCTGGGCTTTACAAATAGCATGTAAAGAAGAACTCACTTTTACACTAAACAGACAATGTTTCTGAGAGACATCACACAAAATCAGGTATAAACACACTCCCTCTTGGCCGCACTAACAGAACTTCCTGAGTTCCTCTTGTCTGCTAAGTGCCATAACAAAACAGTGAAGAGATTGAAATGAACTTATATACAGCATAAGCACAATGGACACATCACTGATAACTCACACACTCACACACACACACACACACACACACACACACACACACACACACACACACACACACACACACATCATCTAAACTGCTTATCCTTCTGGGTCGCGGTGGGGTGCTGGAGCCTATCCCAGCTGTTACTGGGCGGAAGGCCACTGATAACTCATTATGTAATACATTGCAATACATTATCTTTTACAGATGGAATCTTTTACAAACTATTCTACTGATCATGTCCTAACATTTATTCTACAGTGAATTATCAGTCGATACATCCCTGCCTTAAAGGAATAGTTCACCAAAAAAATCAAATGTTCAATCGGCCAAGACATGTTTGGTGTTGGAAATTTACTTCCTCTGTGCTGCACCGGAGCTACAGGCTAATAAAATACAACATATATCTATGTCACTGAAAAAGATTTTTCATTACTTTTCTAGAATAGAGTGCAAAACTGAAGACGCAAACTGCAGACATCAACCATGTCTTGGCTGATGGACTGCGTCTGTTAATTAGATTTTTTGGTGAACCTTTCACAGAGTTGGGCAGAGTTGGGCTGAATCCTGAAAACACTGTCCCAAATGTAAGAAAAACTCAAAAACTCTGTTGTAATTTTTCCTTGCTGTTACTGGTTGGCAGTTTTTAATCATGTAATTCTCTTGTTAATATATTTCATGAAAAATTTGCTAATCTTACTCAAGCAGTATCACCAGGCTGACTGATAAGAAATTAAGCATCTGAAGAGTATAAGGAGACAAGATTTTGGCACTTGTGTGTTGTCTCATGCATTTGACTGCACAGTGTCATAGATCTTAGAGGCTGTTCTCTGGGACGTTCACGGAGAGTTCACTGTTAGGCGTTGAGTAGGCCACAAGTTTATGACATGACAAGACCCTGAGTCATAAAATGCCATGATAGGAATAGCTGAATACTGCACAACATCATGCAGCACAGGATTATGTGAGCGGAGACGTTAATGCATAATGCCATGGCCCACCCCATCACATTAACTCGCCTGGAAGTTTGTATTTACCGGCAGTGCTCTGTGAGGCTGTGCGTTTATCTGAGGTCATTCCCACGGTAGAAAATCAAAGCTTGAGTGAGCAAGTGCATGGATTCTCTAATGATATACCGTCTGTCACTTATGCATCAGTAGATTAGCCAGACACAACACAGAAACAGCGCTAGTTACTGCTCTGTTCATTAGTCACAATAATCAGTTATGACTTGCAAGGCTAAAAAAGGATTCTTAAAATTAGATTTAGCAAAACAAAGATGGGCTACATAAAGCTGAGTTTGGTGACAGACAGGAGTCAACTCTGTTCACTACAGTCAGAAATTCTAGACATAGTTGTAACTGTTAGAGAAGCATTAACATCTCACACCTCTTCTTGTCTCAGCTGAAAGTCTTTTTCCCCAAGAAACATCACAATAGCACCCAGCAACTGCGCTGATCTTAAATGTAAACATGTAAAGCCGTGCATCACAGGTATGTAACAAAAAGCATGCTCTTATGAAAAACATCAATAATAATAATACAGGAATTACTACAGGATTTCTATAAGAATCTTATAGAAAATTCAGACAGTTATAATAGGATACTACATACCTATTATAGACTAGTATAAGAAAATGCTACAGGATTCCTATAAGAATCTTGTAGTAAATTCATACACTTCCTAAAGTTCACTACAGGATACAACACTTATATAAGAAACTACTACAAGAATAAACAGAGGTGAAAGTATTATAGATGTTCAAATAAACCGTATACATCACTATATCCATTCTATAGTTTCTTTTTAGCATTAATATACATCTTCATCTAGCATAAAGGCAGACAAATTCATTAGCCTACCAGAAACTTGTGGCGTTGCGCTCGGCCGAAGCTCGGATTTGGACTCCAGTCCATGGTGTGGAAGTGTAGTGGACTCTCCGCTGTCCGTCTGCGCGCTGTAACAGTCCGAGTGTGGAGGAAGAGGCTGCAGCTCCAGCTCCATCACAGCCGGAGACTGACTTTGAGAAGGAGGAGTGAAGAAGCGCTGCTGCAGCACAAACACACTGGCTCAGCAATGCATTTACACTCTGGGTGGGGTTACAGGGGCTTTTGGCTAAAGTTTTCACCAGGCCGTCTTACTCAGACGAGGCAGTGCCCTTATTGATCTTAAGTTTTCCTGTTAATAATGCATCTGAGGAAGTGCTTTAAGGCGTCCTGGAACGGCAACTTGTGAGGCTCGTCTGGCTGGAGATACTAGTGGCGTCTATTCGATTAAACAGGGAACAGAGTTTACATTTAAACTACAGTTTAGAACCGCACAGGCGAGCAGACATCAGATATACATCAACTACCATTATGTTTATACTTAATAATCACTGATACTTAATCGATCGATATATACTGTGATCCTATCTGTTCATTCAGAGTAGTCCGATGTGAGATGCTCCTTTCTAGAGAAAGAATTGTCAGAGTCAGAATTGTTCACAGTGGTAGTGACAGGAACCAGACATCCGAGGAACACACACATACATACACACACACACACACACACACACGTGTGTATATATACACACACCTGCGTTGTTGGTCCACCCTGTAGATGTAAAGGCAGAGACGATAGCTCATCTCTTGCTGTACAATATGAGCTAATCATCCTCTAGTCCTTTATTGGTGGTCACAGGACGCTGCCCGCTGTTGGCTGGATATTTTTGGTTGGTGGACTATTCTCAGTCCAGCTGTGACACTCAGGTGTTTAAAAGCTCCAGCAGCACTGCTGTGTCTGATGCACTCAGACCAGCACAACACACACTAACACACCACCACCACATCAGTGTTACTGCAGTGCTCAGAATGATCCACCACCCAAATAGTACCTGCTCTGTGAGTGTCCATGGGGGTCCTGACCACTGAAGAACAGGGTAAGAGGGGTCTAACAAAGTATGCAGAGAAACAGATGGACTACAGTCTGTAATTGTAGAACTACAAAGTGCACCTATATAGTAAGTGGAGCTGATAAAATGGAAAATGAGCGTAGAAACAAGAAGGTGGTCATAATGTTATGCCTGATTGGTGTACACACATACATACACACACACACACACACACATACACAGACACAGATATATATATATATATATATATATATATATATATATATAGATATATATATATATATATATATATATATATATAAAGGTTTTGGCTTAAACATTTACATACATTCTTGGCAGAGAGGTACATTCATTGTTGTAAGACAAAATAGTGCCCGAAGAACCTTTTTTTTTTCGGATTTACCATTATTTTACCATCATTAATACTAAATTAAAACCCAGATGTGTAGTTTCACTGGTTGTTTTGGATAATAAATAAAAATGGCTAGATCTGGGTTGACTATGCGACTCATGGTATTTATTACCACCACTGCTTTTAAAAAATAAGTTTCTGCACAATGAACCATTTCTCATCAAAACACTCTGAATGACATATTTGAATGACTGAATTGCGTCAAAATTTTGAAAATAGGTGGATTCTTCTTTATGAAAAGATGAAGAGAGTAAGACTGTATCAGCAGTTGTGTTACTTACCAAAATGGCAATCCAGGATTTTGAGCTGAGAGAAATGGAGTGTAACATCAGAAACATTCTAGATAAAAGTTTTGTGTTATAAATTTTATTCAATATTTTAGAAACCTGTCATCACCACTATCACCATTACCAAATAACAACACAATCTATTATTATTATTAACCTCTTTACACTGAATTTAACAGCACATTCAAAACAAAACAGTAAATTTTCACTGCCTCTGAGCATATTTGTGTGCCAAAATCTGAAACAGGTCAGAAATGTCACTAAAATTCTGCAATGCACATTTTGCCATTGTAGTCCATTATTTGCATGGCACATACCAGTAGTGTGTGTTTATATGTGTGTTTTAGTTATAATGTGTGATCAGAACCGTTTTCTGTGGTGTATTTTCTTCTGATGCTGATTCAAGTTATCTTTAATCTTAAAAGTTCTGCCACAGTCGGAGCATTTGAAAGGCCTGGCTTCTGAATGGAGAACCACGTGTTTGGAGAGCGTGCGGCTGTGGCGGAAGCCTTTCCTGCACACGGGGCACTGGAAGGGTCTCTCTCCGGTGTGGATGTTGCGGTGCTCCTGTAAACCCCTCTCCTGAGCAAACGCTGAGCCGCAGTCAGTGCATATATGGGGACGCTCACCTGCAGGAGCAGGATGTTGATAAAGTGTCTAAAATGCATACAGTGTTTTAGGTTTATTTTAGACTATGCCTTAAAGTCAACATCAGGGATTTCAAAACAACAAAGTAGTAGATCCACTACAGGATCTTCCTAAAAATGCTCAAGCAAGGGGTTGAATCTACAAGAATGAATGAATACATAGAGTCAAGTGGATTTAAATAAAAGTCACTCTCTATTCATTTCAATACTGTTTTTTTAACGTGTCCTTGTCAACTTGGCCTTGTCATTTCAACTTAGAGAAACCCTGTTGCCAACCCCAATACCAACCCTTTACTGTACCAACTCAATGAAATTTGTCTGAGGACCCTTTGGAAAGCCAAGGAATGGAGTCAACATAAATGTAAACCTTTTGTTGAATGAGCCCAGAATTCTTGCTATCTGACAACTCCCTTTTTAAACTGGGGAAAATAATGGCAAACTTTGCTTATAAGCCAGAGCAATGAATTATTTGAAATATTTCAAAACTATAACATTCAATTTGCTACATTCAAACTGAGCTTTATTTAGCAAACAACTTCTTCTGTTATACATGAGTTTTGTTATATCACTCTACTAGCTAGCTAGTTAACAAGCTCAGGGCTACACAAGAAGCAACAACAACAAAGGGCAATGCACCACAGTTCTCATTACATACCCAAAAACTAAGCCAGACAAAGCATTTTTTAAATGCAAGTTATGCACCTCCAAGTCTTGAAGTGAAGTCGACAAGGGCAAGTTAATACAATATTGAAACAAAGAGTCTAAAACTGTATTTGACAGGAATGATTTTCTACCAATTTGATCACATTCAGCTTATAACGCATAGGCTCTTTATTTGTATGAGCAGCATTTTAATCATCTGGCCATGGACATCACATGACACAGCTGGTACTTAAGCTGAATCTCAGAGCCATAGAGTGCATCTCCTCAATGCTAAATTGTGTGCGCACTGAAGGGGTTACATGCACATGTTGCTCATTGGCCCACTAATTGCACATGTGGCCTAATCATCACTGTAGTATGAAAGGTTGTAGTTAATATGTAGAAGTATACTGAACTGCTATTGCTAACACTTAAATCAGATGTCTATCTCTGTTGCTTCTCTAGCATACCTGTGTGTGTTCGCTGGTGGCAGCGGAGGTTGAAGCGGTCGCGGAAGGTTTTGCTGCACACAGGACAGCGAAGCATTTTCCGGTGGACTCGGAGGTGGTTGGTCAACTGGGTGAGAGTGGGGAAGCGGAGATCACAGTGCTTACAGCCAAGGCTTTGCCCAGGAGTGCATCTGTGTCTCTGCAGGTAGTCATACCTCTTAAACTTGCTACCACATTCAGGACACTCAAAAACACATTTCGGTACTTCTGGCTTGTCTGGCTGGGCGGCTCTGTCACAGTTCTTATAGGCTGACCTGAGTGAAGGAGAAGCTGATTTGCCACTATAGCAGGTACCAGGGAGTGAAACTTGAGCGGAGTCACTCATAATTGGTTGCACCTCTTCAGGATTCAGGACAGGCTTTGAGTCAACCAGTGATGGGCTAAACACAACTTCAGAAAATTCTTCCTCTTCAAAATGCTCATTCCCACCACTGACCTCCAGGCTGAGGCCATCAGGCTGGAAGATGGTTTCTGAATCGCGCCTCTTCAGACACAGCTCATTCAAGTTCATTTGATGCTCTCTGAAATGGATTTAGTTCAAAGGATCAACAAACAAAAGCAAAATGGTGAAAGTTCAATGTCTATTGAAGGCAACACACTAAAAAGCAATTCCTACCTGTTGCTGTTGTTTATAAGCCAAATAATAATCACTAAAACTAGTAGGGCTGAGTGATTATTATTATTATTATTATTATTATTAATAATAATAATAATAATAATAATAATAATATCATCATCATCATCATCATCATCTGGGAGGCCTGGAGCTTAATTTAAAGAATCCCAAATTACAGTAAAGGCCAGAAAAAGCACAATTACATATATTACACAAATCATTCTGCAATAATACTCAGGTATATGGAAAAACAATGGCTACTCAGAATAACAATTCTCCTCCCCAACATGTGGGGCTGTTACTACTGATTATATTAGTAATTGAGTAATGTAATGCAGCGCAGTAGCCCAGCATCATCTAAACATGCTGCATCATCAAAGATCACTTTGAAATATCAGCAATATGTAAACATCAGCCAGATGCCAATAACTTTTTTGAGCAATTATCTGCCAAAACAGATATGATTAGAATATTGTTGTGCATCCCTGAAAAAAAATTATCCATCAAGCTGTGTTTCTTAGTGCAGGTAAGAGAAACCAAGAGGAAAATTTAAAACATGCATCGTCATGATGCAAATCGCCAAGTAATCACTGCCATTTTATCGAGATGACTTTTTAAACTGAGTAATCGTGACAGTGCTAGATACATGCAGTCTTACCCAGAGTATCCATAACCAGTCCCTGTCTGTGCATCACAGCCCTGTCTGTCTCTCTCTGGCTCCTGATCAACCCTGTTATCCTCCATGAAGCATGCAGCCATGATCACAGCCTCTTCTATGTTCTGTGGCTGTTGTTTCCTTGTCTTCTCTCCAACACCTGGTGGAAGGAGAGAAAGGAATTTCTGCAGGGTCACTCTTCTCACCACCTCCTCAGAGCTACACCTTTCAGGCTGAAGCCACTTCCTGGTCGTCGCCTCTACCCCTAGCTTTAGCTCCCGCACCCCCCTGTGGGGTTCATACTGGACCTCATTAAAGTCCCTCCACCTCTGAAGCTCCAAGGCCCATGCTTGCCTCCTCACATCTGCTTTCAGGGCTTCATAATTGAGCTGGCTGGATGGTTCATGACCCTCTTCATGTAATGTCTTTATACAGAGGAGCTGCGCTAGGCGTGACCCCCACTGCTCCTTTGGTAATTTGCTGCTGTCCAGAGCCCTTTCAAACACAGACAGAGAAAGCTCCAGGTCATCTCCCCTCAGATCCAGACATGGTGCAGGCAGCTGCTGCACGCTAGCACTGTCTAGTTGTAAAAGCTGAGAAAGAAACTGCGCCTGGATCTCTCCCTGAAGAGCTACAGCTTTCTGGAGCTGAACATGGAGGTCCAGCAGAGACCTTAAACACTGGATAACATCCATGGATTCCTCACTTGGGCTGTGAGGAAAAAAAAAAAGGAGAAATAGTTGACAAACTGGACAGGGAACCAAAAATTAAAACGTCTTCTTTTTTAAATACAAACGTTAATGAAAAAAGACCTGTAGTAATACTACAGCAATTTCTACAGGATTCTTATACTAAATGCAGACAATTAGGTTACTATAGTTTACTAAAGTATACTGCGCATTTTATAGACTATAAGACAACATTACAGGAATGTTACAGCAGCAAAAATGCAAAAAATATAATAGATTATTATGACAGTAGTATACTGTACTGCGGGAATCTTATAGTTTCTAGTAGTTTGAAGATTTATTTTGAATCTTTTTGTAAAACGGCTCAACTCAAATGTGAAGTGACAAATCCTGAAATGTAAAGAAAGACAAAGGTCGCTTGATGTGATGTGGAGTAACGTTAACCGTAGCTAAGGTGAGGGATCCTGCCTACCTCAGCCAGCAAGTGTTCAAAAGACCAGCAAAAAAGAAGGGATGACGAGGAAAAGAGCTCAGTGAAGAGTGCTGTCGATGAACTGTGGCTTGTGATATTAAATTAAAGGCTGTCCAAACAGGAATCCTGCATTTAGCAGGGAGCTTGTTTATCACACAGTAATCACTTGGCTTTATACCGCCGCCTCTTCGCCTTCTTCGTCGCTTTCATCGTCTTCTGTTTTGTTTTCCTCTGGAGAGGAAAGTGTGTTACTGCCATCTACTGACAGGGTGGAGAACGACAACGGGGAGAGAGCAGCGCGGATTCTGAGCGTTTTTCTGTTCGCGCACTTCAACTCCTCGACTATTAACTAAATATTTTCTCTTGAAGACGAATTCCACCAAGTTTTCCGCATTTCTGAATTGTTCAGTCCCTGGGATGTAAACAGAGTCATTCAGAGTGATTTGATGTGGAACGGATGATTGTAGAGAAACTTACCGACTCAGATTTCTTTATAGAGGTGGTGAGAGGAACCAGGGGTCGCCATGTCTACAACACAAATATAGACATTTTATTTACTATCCAAAACCTCCAGTGAACCGACACATGTCTTTTGTTTTTATATGTAATGTCGATGATGGTAAAATAGTCATAAATCTTAAAATATAACTTTTCTTTGGTGACTATTTTGTCTCACAGTGTCCTGCATGTATCCCTCCGCCATGAAGTGATTAAAATAAATAGATTAAAATACATTTTAAGCCAAATATTTATCACAAAACTGTCATAAAACAATGTGTAAGACATCAGGCAGCATATATTTAACCATTTCATGTTTTTTTTCTTTTTTTTTTTGTGGGGGAGCTTTCAGGGGCGTTAAGTTCTTCAGACGTCTGGTTCCCATCCAACAACTGTGACTAAGTTTCTCTAGAACGGAGCATTTCGCTCCAAACCACTCTGAATGACTTTGTCTACATCTCAAGCATTTAATTGTGCAGAATGTTTGAAAAATGGGTGGAGTTCCCCTTTAGAGTGGCTGAACATGGAGGTCCAGAACACTGGAGAACATCCATAGGTTCTTCAGTTGTCCTCTGAGTAAAAGAAACCACTGAACTGCGCAGGACATCAGTACCCCAAGATCAGGGTTGAGAACAGAGGTAACGTTTACTTCCAGTGCACCATTCTCAGGCCCTCAAACGTTCTTTCTTTCTTTCTTTCTTTCTTTCTTTCTTTGTTTCTTTCTTTCTTCCTTTCTTTCTTATGTTCTGGGTATCTTTTATTGCCCAAAATCCATTTTTGGAGGGAGACCCCCCTCACTGTTACCATCACACTCAAAAATCAGTGCCAAGTTTACAAAATGACTTTGTTACAAATTCACTACCCTTTATTTTAGTTTAATCGTGTTGTATAATATTCATGTGGTTTAGTTAAAATTGGTTGCAGTTTTTACATGACGGTAAATGTATTGTTTTTTATGACATCACAAATACGATTAATTCAAAATGGCCTGTTTAGTCTTATAGTTTCCACACATGGATTGTACAGACCGGGCAGTGAGCGTTACATTTTGAAAGTTTAACAGTGTTTACATGCTACGTGAATCTCGTTTATTAAAAATAATGAAATGAGAAATTCATTTTTCCATGCGGGTCCTTTATCGCCCCGCGACCCAGAAGGATACGCGGTGTAGATGATGTATGTTGGGGGGTCCTTTATCATCTCCTGAAGCTTTAACTGGTCTTACTGAGCTTCTCCAGACCTCGGCGGGGCGCTGCATCCTTCCTGCTCCGCCAGTGTAACGGGACCATCAGCAGCCCGAGAAGTGAGGACGGTTATGTTTACAGACGGGCAGCTTTATCCACGTTCAGTTCCAGTAACTGCAACTAACAGACTTAAAGCAGTTTAGAGGTCGAGACATTTCCCCAGATGCCAGGTCGTGTGCAAAAGAGGTTTGCTGTGGATTTAAATCATAATCTTAGCCTGTCAGTGTCTCTCTTAGTGTGTAATATTAGCCACAGACAGTTAGTTAAAGCTAGTGTTTACATTGCTGGCTAATCCGGTAGTTAGCAGCAGCAGACATTGAGCGGCTTTTATAGCTGTTTAGAAGTCGTGTTTTTCGCACCGTCGACGTGTTGTCAGTGAAAATTGCTCGTAGCGGTAGTTGGTAGCTGCATATGTTAATTTGTTAAGTGGTACCATTAACTTTGGCTGCTGTTAAAAACTTGTTTGGCCTGCCTGCCGTTGGATACTGTGGTGTTTTATTATACCAAGTATGGGGATGTGCCTGCCCTGTCTGGGTGGAGCAGCAGACGACGTTGTTGTAACGCCGGACCCTGTGAGTACTTCACTGTTCGCCCTCATACCATCTCATATGAACGTTTCTACAGGTTTATTTCACATATGGATGTGCTTAAATACAACACTGATTTTTATACAAAAAAAGGTCTTTTTACATATTTTCCCAGCTTGCTTTCTGGTTCTTTCTAATGGGCAACAGCTAGTGTTAACGGTTTTAAGGCCACAGATCGTAAGTGTTTTAAAGGGAAATTCCACTGTTTTCCTCAGGATTTTTGCACAGTTAAGTTGTTGAGATAAACAGTGTCATTCAAAATATTCTGATGTGTAATGGGGCATTGTAGAGAAACGTGCCTGCTCAGATTTCTTCACAGTAGTGGTGGCAGAAACCAGGGATTGCAATGACTACAGCACAAATAGAGCCATTTTATTTATTTGCTATACAAAATGACCAGTGAACCTACATCTGTCTTCTGAATTTTTATATTTAATGTTTATAATGATAAAATAATGGTAAGTCTGAAAAAAATATTTTTTCTTTGGGGACTATTTTGCTTTACTTTACATAGAATGTACCTTTATGCCATGATGAATGTATTTTAAAAATATGTTTTAGGCCAAAACCTTTATAAAATATTGTAATATGATCTCTCAGGCATCACACACTGTACTTGTAAGCATTCTGTGTAATAGCTTTCTGTGAGGGTAGCTTTGGAGATATTAAATGCTTGAAATGCTTTTGGTTCATATCACTGCTACTGTAAACAATTGGGACTTTCTCTTGAACAGAGCATTTCACACTGTCTACATCTTTACTATTTCATTACACAGACATTTTGAAAAATCAGTGGAGCATTTTGCTGTCTGTCTAATATACAATGACGTTAAGTCTTAAAACTTCTCTAAACAGTCCTTCCTTTCTAGAATCTGTCCGCACTCTCAGGACAAATTACTCACTCAGTTATGAATGAGTCTTTACCAGCACCTTATTGAATAGGCCTCTAGTAAATACCATTGCAGTAACACTGTTTGAGTACATCACTGTTGAAGGCTGTAATAATATTGCTTTGTCATCTTTTCTTTTCCTTCTGCAGGAAACCAGAAGGCGACAGTTGGCAGAAGCTGCTGAGAAAAGACAGAAAGAGGTAATGTAAAATAGCCAAGCAGACTGACTTGCAGCTTATTAATTAGTTGAAGTAAGCAGAGAAGTGAGCATATTCTCTGTCAGGCTAGTGTGTCTGTCACTGGGTCCATCATAATGTCATATTTATTTACTAGTGCATTTGTTTTTGTTTAGTTTTTGAGTTTTTTTGGCTGTTTCTGTTGATAATTAGAGTACATTTCTCACCCTCACACCAAAAATATCCATCCCTCTTGTGTGGTCTTCACCAAACACTAAAACAAAAACAAGTTTTTTAATACAATATTTCTCAACGCAGTCCTTGGGGATCCCAGATGGTCTGTCTCACCTGAGCCAACATCATTAACAGTGAAATGTGTTGGGAGCTGTTTTAGATCAAAATGTGGCCCATGTAGTGGTCCAGAGGACTGGATTGGCTTTTAATATTACTGAATTAGTACAGATTCATGTTATGAATGTGCTATAAGAAACTAAATGAGATAAGACAGAATAGACAGACATGCATGGTTCTTTTTTTCCATCCCCATCAAAGCAAATAATTAATTTCAAGTCATTATGTCATCCATCAAATTTCCTTTTGGAGAGCTTTAGAGATTGATTATGGTTTGCCCCTCATATACATTGTGGACCCTTTAGAGATTTTCATCAGTGCTTGCTGCTCGTCGAGCTGCTAAGGCAGCCCGGTAAGTAGAGCACCATCTTTTAATCTCTCCACACATTGGATTCTGTGCCTTCAGGGGGCAACTTCACATCGCAGTGGTTTTCTACTTTGGCTGAAATTAACTTTGCTGCTTCTGCGATCTCGTAATGCTAATGCTTGTGGTGACAGTTTTTCCCATTGTTACAAAGGTTATTTTGATGACATAGTGGAGATTTGGAGTGCAGACATTCAAAATACCAAACTTTAATGGTAAAGAGTTTTCCAACATGTCACAAAATGATGTAATGTCATAGTGGAGAAGACTGACCAGGCAGTCTGTATTGTTTTGTGATACCATAAAAGAGCAATTGCATTTCACCGCACATTTCCCAAGCCACAGAGTCCCACATTGTCAGCTTGCTTCTAATGCCCACAATGCACTCAGCTGCTATGCTTCAAACACTGGCTAACAAGACTTGTCACATGTTAGAAACTGTGTTGTAGTTGAGTTTTTATTGGAAAATCTTACTATAACTTACCCTTTGTTTTGAAAATTGCTACTATAAACAGTATATGTTAAGTGTATTCAGGAAAACGTTATCTTGTATGCAATACAAACTAAAGCTTGAAGTATCTTACCAAGTACTTCCCTATGTTTCTCTCCTTGTAGAGCACATACAGAGGCATTAAGAACCCAGAAGCAGTCGAAAGGAAAAAGAAGAAACAAGAGGAGATGGAAAAACAGGCAATGAGCACGTCACCCTCAGGAGGCGGGGGGCTTAAGGTAAATCCTGTTGGAAATGTACTTTAGACTTTAACCAGCTGTATCCTTTATGCTCTTTTGAAAGCATAGTATTTTACATAATATAATTATGAATATGTAATATGCATTAGGTTTTCTGCTTCTTCTCTCTCTCTTTAGTGGCAGGTTGGCTAACACAAGAAGAAGAGAAGACAACTAGTATACATCAACTTTATGGATCAGCCTGCGTGAGCAGCAAATCCATCAAAATAGGAAGGATTTTTTTGTTTTTGTTTTTTTCAATAATTTCTTAAAATGCAAGCTAGTCAGGGGAGTGTAGCATCTAGACTTTTTTGCCAAGCTTACATGTCCCTTTATGCCTCCTGGTTGGCCAGAGCTGTTTGCAGGACACGCCTTCTTTAACATGCCAAGATGTGCTAGCCAATGAAATATCAGAGAGGGCAGTAATGTGTGGCTTTTAATACACATATTTATGTATCACTACTGAGAGACACGGCATTCAGTCACTAAAACTCTATGGTTCCACAGTTCTAAAGCTCATGCACCACAGTGCTTTATTTACATATAGAATGTTCTCATGCTTGTCTTACAATGTGTCTGTTTATTTTTTTTTAAAGCAGTGTTTCCAGTTGAATGTAACTGTAAAATACATTTATATGATCTCACAAAATCACATTTTGTAATGAATTCATGACATTTTAATGCGTGTTTGACATTCAGATTGTTTAGGTTTATTCTGCAGTGGTTTAGTTGAAGCATGACAGTGCAATATAAATTATTTGTGGTATCTGTTTTTTACAGCATGTTCAAGTGTGATGATTTTTGATTCAAGAGAGAATTTAGCAGTCTAAATATAGAGGATACTAATGATTTGAATTGGTCAGTTTGATAATGAGTATAAGCACTATGTAAATGTAAAAATGAGTTTTATTGCTTTTTTGTGATGGTGTTAAATGAAGTTCACTGAGTGGTTATTCACATATACTCTAAAGGTTTTTGTCAAATGTAGGACAGAGGGTCAGCATTTTTTGACCCTTCAGCCATGTCTCAGTCTCTGTTCACCTCAGTGTGGGAGAAGAAGACGGTGCTGTTCTATCAGTACAGAACTGTGTTCTTCACAAGAAAGCTTTGAAGTGTGTTCAGCAAACTAAGGCTTGTTTTCTTTCTTCAGAAGCCCAAAATTGTCCTGCCATTTTCAATGCTTAGACAGGCTCTGTAGGAGATGAAGATGCTGTGCCACTTTAATGGGTCTGAATAAATTCCTAATCTTATTTTATTCCTGTTCTCAATTCCTCTTTAATGTTGCTGTTTTTTATTTATTTATTTAATTTCCAGGCAAATGACCATTAAGTACAAGGTCTCTATTTTCAGCATCAGGACACACCTCCAAAGTCTTAAAAGCATTTTTTGCTTCTCACTATTCAGGTAATCCCAAACACATTCAGTGATGCTGAAGTCTAGACTTCGGAGTGGTCAGCCCATTGTTCTGAGAACAACAGCAACTTCTTTGTTTGATTAACAAATGTTGATCTTTTTGTATTTACTTTTCTCAGTAACAGCTTCTTGACAGCTACACATCCTTTCAGGTCCATAGTGTTGAGTTGTCTTCTCACAGTGGAAGGATGGACAGAAACACATGCAGATTTTTTCAGAAGTAAAGCTTGATTTTTTTTCTCCTCTCTCCCTCAAACATCAAAGCTTTAAGTACTGTTTATCTGATTATGACAGTTTCGGTGGTCTACTCGGTCTTGAATGGCTCTGTGGAGTCTCATTTTCTTTGTTGCTTTTAATAATTTTTTGAACTCCAGATTTGTAAACTTCTGTTTTTTTTTTCTTTTTCCTTAGGCAGGTGGATTATCTTGTAACTACTCTTTCAAAAAATGAAAAATGTGACCTTTGGCTTAACTGGAAACTAACTGGAAATTAAGGGTTATCTGTGACTTCAACACAGTACTGTGCAGTTTGTTTTTTGCTCTATATCTGTATTTCAGACAGTAGAGGTCACTATAGAACAACTGTGCAAGTGGAGCCACTTCTCCAGTCAAGAACTAACATGAGGCAGTTTTCACACTGGTGTCCCTTAAATTAAAATACAATCACATTGATGAGATTGTACACCTTCTAAGTTTATTCTCAGTCTTTGTTATACAGTCAGTTAACACTGAACAAGTTAACATTTTTTATGCCAGATCAGGCACACAATGAATTATGTTAACAGCACACATCATTTATTTGATTGTCCTTGCAGTAGAGGAAAGGTCATTACTTTTACATCATTCTGTTCTTATAAAAAAAAAAATCATCATCCAAAACAGTATAAACAAGAAAACGACCTGCTATGAAATAAGCAACTTCCAGAAAAAAATTACTTGCATAATATTGATATAATATGACATTGTAATACCTCAAATATATATAAAAACATTATCATTAATATTGCTCAATATGGAAGAGCTAATGTAAATGTATACACACCCATCAAGGGGGATATTAAAACTTGAATTCACTTTGCAGTTTCTCTCAGCTCAGTCCTGAATTCAGGAGACAAGATGAGATAACTTCAAGCACTAGTTATACAGAAATCTCAGCTAACCAAAATAAAAGTACGCTGATAGACAAGAAGAACAACAAAACATTTCACCATATTCGGCACTAAATAAACTGATCGCAATCCCAGGCTAGAAGTGATCGTCAACGAGTCATTGCGTAGCATTCTGAGATGTGAGAATAATATACAAGTAAAACAGTCTAATGTCTTTTGGATTCCAGTCCATGCTCCCTTAATATCAATCAGTCTGTAGTTGAGAGCTTCTGCACTGTTTAGATACAATGTGTCAGAATAGCTAAATCAGTCAGGAAGCTATTAACAGTACAAGCAGTTTAAGTGTTGTTCAAGATTATGATTGCTTAGTCCAGAGAACAGTTTCACCCTCTGTGGATGAGAGTGTTCTGTAAGTTCAAGATTTGCATGGATGAAGGCCACATCCTTAGAAAAGCTGCTCACTCTTTGGTAAAATGCTAAACAAAACCATTAATAAAGGGACTTGGTAGCAGTTGTGCTTTATATGTCAGTGAAATAGATTAAAGGAAAGAGGTCCACCTGGTCGTCCATTCTTTACATTTCTCATCTTCCACTGGCCTGTTACTTCTTACTTTTGTAGTGGGCTGCTACCACCAGGTAGCTGTCAGGCGTGAGGTCTTTAATGCTGGGGGATTTGCTGGAGATGGGTGAGGTCTTGCCCTCCACACGGGAGATCTGGAGCATACGGCAGGGGTCATGCTTCAGCAGGTAACTCTCAAAGGTCTCCCAGCCACCACCCACCCGTACCATCACATGTTTATTGTGCAGCATCTATAGAGGACAGAGCAGAAAGAGAGAGATTGCTTATGTGCCTAAAAACATCATTTTTCAAGGGTTTTGAATGATTTTAACACTCAAACTAAGCTACTGATGTGTAGGTTGACAGGGATCTTGACCTCGTCTCCTTTAGCATGTTTATGAGGTGTTTCGACTTGAAAACCTCAATTTTAGATTTCATGTTAAACCAGAGAAGCTAAGCTTTCTGATTATATGCGTTATTGTGTAACTCAAAAACTCAGAGAGGCCTTTGGTTGTCAACAGTTTTTGAAAAACATTTTTTGTACACTAATCTGTTACACTAAGTAGCCACTTAGTCTACACTAAGTGACATATTAAAGACAAAGATCCTATAAATTAACATATCTAAAAAACAAGGATTCTACGTTTTCATGCTTAGCTCTGAAAGGGCTAACCATGGTAATTGTGATGCACTATAGTCTCTATCACTGTGGCAAGCTTTTATCTGTGAATCATCATGATACTGAGAACAGTAAACCAGAAATACTCACTTGAAACCTTCCTCTCTTCAACACACACACAGACACTAAGTCCCTGAATTCACTTTTAGTCTCTCCACACCTCCACTCACTTCACACCTCTATATTGGCTTACTGTCACCTGACGCTCCCCTGAGGCACATTCCCAAGTGCCACGACAATCTTGCTCCAAAACCAATAACGCAGAAGAGGAATAAAAGGAAGGCCATGTTTCTCCCAAACTGGCTGTTCACATGCCTACGTTCCCCAGAGGCCCTGACCCAGTCGCTCATTTACATTTTACAGCCCCCCTCCCTCTCTTTCCTAACAGCTGGTAGCTTCTTAGTTCTTGAATAAATAAAATTAATTATGAGATAGGAGCCTATATTTAAACAGAAAAAGTAACACCAACAACAACCACAATAATAATAATAATAATAATAATAATAATAATAAAGTTTGTCCCTTTTTATTTATTTTTAAGGATGCATTATCGGGACTGGCAGATTTTTGTTCCAAATACTTGGTCTAACTGAGCGGCAATTGGCAAATATTCATTCTTTTTGGCCAATCTGTGTTGTAAACACAGTGTTTTGGCCAATTTCATGCTGTAACCAGGTAAGCAGGTAAGTACATTTGCGCTGTATTTAAATGCTGCTGCTACACCTGTACAAAAATGACTTACTGTGTTAAATAGCCAGTTGCATCTTTTTATTTATTTAGGCAAATGCTTTTCCAGTTCAATAATTATATTTGTACTGTTAAAGAGCAAATATTTGATTTACATGGTAACTCTGGCTATTAGAAAGAATTGGAAAAGTGCTAGTGTATTCCATGTGTTCACTGGTCAAAAGAATTGAGCATTGGACAATTTGGCTATAAAGAAGTTGCTGTAGGAAATAAAAATCAGAAATAAAAATTAATGACAAGTGTATAATAATAATAATAATAATAATAATAATATGTAGTATGTGTTATTATATCTAGCATGTGATCCAATCAAGATAAGCAGACCACTGTGAACAACCATCATTCCAGTACCCCATTTCATAACAGTATCATAACATACTGAATAAATTATTCTTGAAGATGCCAACATAGCAACTGTACCCATGATTTCATCAGCACTTCCTCCTAGTTTCTGGGTTGCCACCCGAAGGACACAATTTAAAATGCACCCAGTCTACATAAATCTGCTGAATGTTACTAAAAGCACACTATTTCATAAAACAGCTCATTCAAGATTGACAAATCAATAATTCTGCCTCTATTAAACCTAGCCTTGTCAATACCTGCATCATTTACATGAGCATACAAGTGCAAACAGCCTTCGATCCACCTGATTAAACATTCATAAAGGGTGAAAATGACAAGCTATCATTCTTGCCCTTCAGTCTAGCAACCCTTCTGAAGTAAAGAGCTGACTGAGCAAAACAGTGTTATCAGAAATGGAACCCAGAGGGGAGGCAGGAACAAACAAACAAACAACAACAGGGACAGTCTGAAGGACTTAAGGAACACAGAGCCTATTTTTCTATACTGATGTGTTTTTATTGAGCCCTGAGGTGGTATAATAACATGAAACATTCATAAAGTGCACAACAGGATGAGGGAGCAGGGCGACCGAGAGGTCAGCAACGAGACGACCCCTAAGGCTCTACAGTCACTGACATAATAGGCTTTGGGTGGAGATAGGAGATTTCAATCACGTTTTATAGCACACAATAGGAGAGAAGTCTGCAATATTGAAAACCTTTGCTTTACCCACACAGATTGAGTCAGCTCACACATTATTGCACATGGAGGTGATACAGTAAAGTGTGAATATGCATGTAGTGTCAGCAGGATAAAAATGTTGAGGGAGAAGGTTATCAGTGAATGTTAACACCTTCATCATCAGCAGTTCATCTGATGTTAAAGGGCCCATATCCTCTATTTTCTTGTTTATCCCCCCTGAAGTCCACTTATGATGCTTGTGTGATTTTCATTTCTACATGACCATTTTCCAACCTCTCTTAGCAGTAGCACAGTTCAATTTTCCTGACTTGAACTATCAACCATGGTGGTGGAATAAACCGCATGTTGATATTTTTGGCACCATGGACACCAAAAGTCATTGTCCAGGTGAGCCAAGTATTATACAACAAAAAATGAAAAAGCACAGAGCGTTCTCCTACCTTTTTTCACCTTAAACAAGGAATTGAGCTAAAGTTCCCCTCTGATAATCATTGATTTTCGCCAACAAGGCCATCACCATACCACCATTGGTCACATACTGCTGTGAGGCACAGAACATTTGTAAACAACATATGGATCAATCAGTGCCTCTAAAGCTAATATATGTAAATGAGATCTGTGCTGCCCTGTATTGTGCCTCAATCAAACAGCACAAAGCTAACTTTAATGTGAATGGATAGGGCTAAAGTGCTGTAGGCTGAATTGGTAGATATATGTAAATGAATCATTTCGCTTTTCCCCATGATATGGGCCCTTTAAACACATTCTCATGTATAATTCTTCACTATGAGCATGAGTGCGTCAGCATTACTGTTAAAATGGACATCTCACTTTAACCTGACAGAGGCATTAAAACATGCACATTTAGTTTCTCCTGATGGTCACTCAGGGTCTTGTATCTCTGCTGCTCTTTTCTCATCTGTCCTGTCATTTGTTCCCGCAGATAAGAATTTTAATTGCTGTCTGCAACAGAAGAATGTAGCATGAAAAAAGATGCATAGGCAGGCCCGTGACCTCTCAGAGACAAAGTGAATCTGTCCTTGAACAGGGGGCATTCGAAGGATTGGAATTTCAGTCGCTATTTGAATTATTTGAATGGGAGAGCATGACTGTGTTGCCTTTATATCTTCTGTTAAGAACTCTGAATTGCTCGGCCTTGGTTGCTGGGCAACAAACAAGGATGACTGCAAGGGAAAAAATCTCCAATTTAGAAATGGAGATGGAACCCTCCTCATGAAATTTTGAGAGTGAAGCAGGTTCTAAGGACAAAATTTTATGTAATTTAATGTCACTCGATTCTGAGGTCACATATAGAACGTCAGTGGGATTCACTTTGCATTTTACACAGTGGTCTTAAATCAATCCATTACTTTATTCCCTCATTTTTTAACTCATGATACTGATAGATACTTAAACCATGAAGCTCAGTGATGCTTAGGTAATTACTGTCAGCTTTCATAAAATCACAGTGCCAATACTAAGAAAACAAGCCCTAATAATTACATATTAGTATTTAAATAGTAATCAAATAATTTGTAATACTTGCTTAATAATATGTTTTAAAGTTACCAACTCTACATCTAGTGTAAATCATGCTTACTCACATCCTACAGTGGCACCACAGTAGCCTTTAGAGAGAGATTTCTAGTTTACGGACAACGAAAACTACATTTTGCTGATTCTAGCTAGCCTATGCAGAAGGAAACCAGATAGCTAACATTTTTTTGCTAGGAAGCCAAATATCATGTCTGTATTTTATAGCATCTACATGGCAGTGCTAACTCTCAAGATTTATTTATCACTATATTGTATGCTGGGTATTGTAGTGAAAGAACATTGATGGACAAAGACACAAAAAGCATACAAGATCGTAAATTCTTTCGAATCGATGAGGCCAAGGGATGCAACACTGCACCACAGAATATTGCATAACTTGACAAATTGTATATTAAATGAGTGTTTTAGGCCAGAATACTCCTTTAGTATCAACTGAATAATGAACGTGCAGTTTAAAGCGTTAAAACAGCACAGTGCACTGTGGCCTTCCATATTCCCTCTAAACTCATTTCAGCCACTGGTGTGTTAATATGATGTATTGTCGTTGTCACACTCTTCAATTAAAGCAAAGTAATAACACGCCTGCCTCATAGAGCAGAATCATACTAATTGTGCCATAATCTAAAGAAATCAGAGTGGAACTGATAGAGATAAGTAGCCTGTCGATTGTGTCGACAGACTGAAACACTGCCTAATGTGATTTAGAGATGTGATTGAGTGCCAGCCATGCTAGAAAGTGGAGTCTGTTAAAGTGCCCTACTGCAGAAATGTTTGTGTAGCCTGTAAACCATCTACACATTACAACAGCTTGATAAAGTGTTCCTTTAGAAGAGCTATATTTAGCCTTCCATCTACACTTCAAAACCTCCGCAACATCAAATACAGTCGGAATAAGCCACACGCTGCAATCCAACGCAGTCATTACTGACAGACGCTTCCATACTCCAGCTCCACTTCATTAAAGATTTACAGAGCCAATTTGCCTGCTCTGAAGCCTGGCCAATATTACCATCCTCATCTCCTCTTTAACATAGATACTGTAGCTGTTAAGCTATGAGTGAAGACAATGGCAGCCATCTCCATAAAACACACACACAAAGAGGACGTTGTGTACTGAACCATCCTCACTCTCTGGGGTGTACGGGCTGGTTGTGTGTTGCCAGGTAACGGAGTTCCCATGGGTACCAGGCCTACCTCACAAATCACAGTTTGTCAGGTGGCAGCGTATTTGTGGTTATGGGATGCTCCTTGTGTGTACATCCACCATGAGTGGCTCTCAAACTGGGGTCCATAAACCAGTGAGACGAAGTCAGGGATTTAGATGATTTTTTTACTGAAGTGCTAATGCCGATTATGTTTGACATTCGTGTGCAGGTAATGGTGTCAATATAATATTGATATAATACCCCCACAAAATATGATGGCAACGCTTTCAGACACAGGCAGCATAAACACAATGGACATGTTTACTCCATTAATATTTCATGTACCTGCTTATACAGTGCTGTGAAGGAAGTATTTGCCCCAAACCTGATATATTGTATTTTGCTAATAGAAATGCAGCTTTTAAATGATCATTTCATTTAGTGAAGATAAAGATTTAATGATCCATGTGAAAAAGTAATAGCCCCCCTAATTTTAATTCTGATACATTGGGGGTGGGCGGGGGCTGCCCATGTAAGGTCTTGCCACAGCGCCTCAATGGGATTTAAGTCAAGAATTTGACTTGGTCATACCAAAACCTTAGGTTTTTTTAAAGCCAATCAGGGGTGTACTTGCTTGTGTGCTTTGGATCATTGTCCTGCTGCATAACTCAACTGTGCTTGAGTTTTAGGTCACAAACTGATGGGTGGATATTGTCCTTCAGGACTTTCTGATATAGAGCAGAATTCAAGGTTCCATCAATTAAGACAAGTCGTCCAGGTCCTGCAGAAGCTTGGCAGCCCCACAGCATCACACTACCACGACCATATTTGATTGTTGGGATGATGTTCTTATGGTGGAATGCAGTGTTAGTTATCGGAACTATTGTGTTCCAAAAAGTTACATTTTTGACTAGTCAGTCCACAGAATATTGGCCCAAAAGTTTTGGGGGTCATCTAGATTCTGGCAAACTTGAGACGAGCCATTTTGTTCTTTCTGGTTAGCAATGATTTGCGCCTTGCAACTCTCAGATGGATGCCGTTTTTGCTCAGTGTCTTTCTTATTGTGGAATTGTGTACATTCACCTTAACTGAAGCAAGTGAGGCCTGCAGTTCTTTAGATGTTCGTTTGGGTTCTTTTGTGACCTCCTGGATGAAATTTTTGCTTAGGTCGGCCACTCTTGGGAACTGTTCCAAATTTTCTCCATTTGTGGATAATGGCTCTCACTGTGGTTTGCTGGAGTCCCTTTCCAGACTGGTAGATTTCAATGACTTTGATTCACATCTGTATTTGAATCTGTTTAGAATGGGGCACCATGTGCTGCTTTTTGAGACCTTCTAGCCTGCTTCACATTGCCAGACAGGTTCTATTTAAGTGATGTTTAAATTAAACAGGTCTGGCAGTAATAATGTCTGGGTGTGGCCAGGGAAACTAACCCAGCAGTCAATTGAATTTGGTTAACTGGTTGATTTAGTAGCTAAGGGGGCAATTATTTTTCACATAGGGCCAGCGTTTTTGAACAGCACTTTTACTTCAGTAAATGAAATCATCATTTAAAAACAGCATTTTGTATTTACATGGGTTATCTTTGTCTAATATTAAAAGTAATTTAATGATCAAGTGCAAAAACAGAAGAAATTGGGAAGGGGTAAATACTTTTTCACAGTCCTGTATGTTCATCAACATATAGTTCTGTGCAGAAATGAGAAAGCTAGAAATAAAAGCAATTTATCTGGACAGTAAGCATTTATTTGCAAACCAATTAGCATTTATACACTAAGTGTTAATTTTATTGTATATATAAGTGTTTGTTTAACCAAACCTCTCCTTGAGGAAGCTCTGTATTATTTGTAGTTATCGTCCAGTACCTGGTTTGGCTAATTAATGCTTTATTATGTTAAATCAAGTCCCAATACCCAACACAGCACAACATGTTCATTGATATCTTGTTTCAGCAAAGACTCCATTCCAAAATATCCCATTAGTTTGTAGCGATATGCTCTTACTTATTGTACAGCATTCATGGACTTTAGTGATAACAGCCCTTAAACTGATCAGTTTATAATTACAACTCCTAATTGATCAAAAATGATTCAATTCATCAAGCCTTCAGGATCATCTGATGTGAGAATTAGGTGGATAGGATTTGAGTTTTAATAATACTTTGCAGACTAATCTCCAGGAGTAAATCAACTTGCAGCCGTGGTAGACCTCGTTTCTCAGCCGTTACGTCACTGCACTGAAAGCAGTCCCATTTTGTAGGATCCCACGAATGTGGTTGAGAAATGCTCTCTTTCTGAGAATGTTACTCATAGTTATAGTAAAAATCACAAAGATCATGTTGATAGCATACATTAGTTTTTGAACAATGCGATAAAGAAATATGTCTCAGCGCTGCATACATTGGCGCTGTTCACATTGTTTTTGTCAGTAAGCTGTGACAGCCTACTAAGGACGTCCAGACTAATTGTGAACAAGCACTGAAGAGAAGTCTTTGTATACCAGTGCTATCAAGGTCTCTTCTATCTCAGCTGCAGCCTTGACTTTAAAACATTTAGTCAACCCCTTTTGTCATCATTACACTATTTACAGTATTACTATTACAGTATGAAGTACACACCCGAATGAAGAGTATCTTCTCCCCAACACGATAGCGGCCCTGTGACTGGCGCTCCACACAGAACTTATTAGGACACTTACAGGGAGGCTCCTCAGCAATGTGCTTTACCTGAGCAAACACAAAAACATGCACATCAACATGCTGTTTTTTAGTGATAACTATACACCAAGTAGGCCATTTATACAGATATTTTACAGAGAATCAACAGATCTCCACACCATTTGCATCTCCACACTATTTGTGTGTAATGTGTAGCCAAAGTGTGAAAGGAATCCAGAATCTGCTGTATCTGTATCATAGAATCAATTACCCTGGCAAATATTATAGATTGGAGAAAAAAAGGAAAGGAACCTGTGACTCTAAACAGATTTATAATAGAAGCCAATGTGAGGCTGATGACTTCCATCAGTAAGTGTTACGTGAAACTACACATTTCACATAAGACATCTTGTCTTATTCTAAGAGCTGTGAATTTTAAGAGTGTAATGACTAAAAATAACCAATGACCTTTAAAAAACTAAAAATAACCCTCTCTGTAAGTAGCTAATGACAGCTAAGTTAGATCTCATACTCACGGCATCATCCAGGAGCTTGCCAGTGCTTTTCTTGCATGAGGAGCATTTGTTGGGGGAAGAGACCTGGGTGGGAGAGGCCGGGGAAGGAGGGGGCTCGGGGGCTTTCTCCTCCTGCTCAATCTCTTTCTCCAGCTTAATCAACCCGGGTGGCTCCACCTTATACCTGACACACAACAATACATTAATCAAAAAGGCTCTCAGACGTCCAGCAGCAAATTAGGTAGCTGAGGAACAGGCCCACATTTCACCTACCTGGATGCTATCCTCCCCAGCTCCAAGAGACAGAGGCACACCTCACGTGGCTGCTTGTGCAAAACTGGAGAACAACAAGCACTCAAATTATTACGGTAACACTTGATTGAAGAACAACATTCATAACGCCTACGTCTGTCTTTCACGACAACTGAGATAAACCTATATAGACATTTATCAAAATAGATAAGTCTAAAATATAAAAAAAAGACAAAAGCTGCCGTTATAACAACTGAAGCTTGTTGGAATAAGCCTTTATAAATGTTCATGTAGGTTTATGTCAGTTGTCATGACAGTCTTATGTAGGCTCATAGTCTTATGAATGCTGCCCTTCAGTATAGCGTTACTATTATTATTAGTACTTTTCACAAATCTATCAACATTTGTTCATGCATCTCAAAAGCACAACATCATGATAACACAAATCTGATGAGCCATTCATGGAAATGATCTGTAGACACTGAGTACACACAGTGGGGGTGAAAGTACACATCGAGCTTATAAGAAGTTACTCAATCATTTTAAATTCCTTATCCAGGCACTGGCTACATTTTGCCCAAGCTAAGTAATTTTGCATATGTTAATAGCTATAGTAAATCAGGCCTAGTATGTCGCAATAACTGCTGGAAATGGCGTCAAAGTGTGACACTCAAAACACAGATGTGTGTTTTATAGTCCTACAAAAACACCTGTTCTCAGAATCCACATCTGTCCACTGTTAGATACTCCATTCCCCATGATTCATGACTCATGCTCATGAGTGAGGAATGGTGAGGTGACACAGAACAACATGCAGTAAACACATCAAGAGCATCATCTCATCCTGAAACTCCAGCGCATCCCACCTGAATTTAATGTCATCTCCACACACACATTTAGCTATTTCAGCAGAAAGTAAAATAGGGGAAAAGAAGAGGGAAGGAATAACAGATTAATCTTCTCAAGGCCTTTTCTTTGAGAGGTAAATAAATCCGTCTGGCTGGAGTCACATCTGTATGTATAGTTTGTAATGATGAGCCAGTTGGCTGGAGTTAAAAACCTCCAAAAAATATTTATAGTCAAACAACAGCTTGAGATCAAGAGAAAACACACAATGTATAAAGGATATAAAGTTCAGTTCACACAGGTCAGGCCCTCCAGTGGTCTGGGGGGTTTAGACACATTCAATCAGACCATTTTACTCTGAAGAAGGAATGATGAAAGCTGCCAAGTGTTCACATCTCATAAAAACACAACTCTCACCACAAAAATATATGGTCACACAAACACACACACACACACACAAACACACACACACACGCACACACACATTTACACAGACAAAGCTTTCACTGTGTAAGTGCAGCAGGACAGTAAGAAAAAAAATCTTTCTGCATTCAGAGGAATCAGTTCCACTTGCCTGCCCTACTTTCCCTCTCTCTCTCTGTTTCTCTGCTTTCTCTCTCTCTGTCTCTCTGTCTCTGTACTCTCTCCTTCTGTATCTCTCTGCCTCTCCCTGCCCCTCTCTTTCTCTCTCTCTGTTTCTCTGCTACTGTCTGTCTCTCTCTTTCACTCTGCCCCTCTCTTTTTGTCTGTGTCTCTGCTTCTCTTTTTCTTTCCTCTTCTTCTCTGCTTCTCTCTTTCTGTATCTTTGTCACTCTCTCTCTCTCTCTGCCTGATTCTGACTTTCTCTCTCTTTCTCTTTCTCTGTTTCTCTCTCTCTTTCTCTGTCTCTGTCTCTCTCTCTCTCTGTCTCTCTCTCTCTCTCTCTCTCTCTCTCTCTCTCTTGCTCTCTCTCTCTCTTTCAAAACCTGTTTCAACACGAAAGCTAGTGTTTTCCTAAGCCAATTGAGAGTTTACAACAGTTGAGAGACACAAAAAGGACAGAGAGAGAGAAAGAGAGAGAGTAGGGAGGGAAGAGAGTGCAGAGTAACATAATTAGGCCATTCACAGGAGTGGTGTGTCGAAGAGAGGAGATGCTTTTCTTTCTCTCTTCCTCGTATTCATTGCCAGATCACAGTCTGCTGCCAGGAGAGCCTGAAGGTGGACAGACTGAGGAACACAAGGGCTCTCACTGTGCCACAGCAAGCACAGAACTACTTTATAAATATCTGCTGAGACTGAATCATTTCCATTCTTCTTCATATACCCGCTCCTTCAAGTTCCAACAACAGATTACAGAGTTCATCGCTGCTTTATCAGTGTGGCAAAGCTCACACAGGTTGACTCCTCCAATATCCTGAGAGCTCATCAAGCAAACTTAATATCTGTATGTAGACAGTGAGGCAGACTTGTGTGAAAAAGTGGAAATTATGTGCAAAGGTCAATCTAAGGCATTTACAACTACACAAAGTTGTGACCAAAATCTCTCAGCTTTATCTTGTGACTCGGCCTGTCACAAATATTATATAATCAACTGATCACTGTTTAGCTGACTGCAATTATTTTCCACAATTATTTGCTTTCACTATCATATGTCTACGCTGCAACAAACAGAACATGCATTGGATGCGTTTTCATCAGCTGGGTTGAAACAAATGCATGTAAATAAAAGAAAGTAGAAAACACATTTACTGAGAGAAGTCAGTGGTCTGTAACATGGTTAAAAAGCAGTGATGAGTAATGTTTGTTTTTTTGAGCTTGAGCTGTTTCTGTCGTCAGTCATAAGTGTTGAAAGCACGGAAGCAGTTTAGCTAATTAAATCTATCACAGTGAACAAAAAACAGAGAATTAAATTGTTAATCAATAATTTATATGACAATCATCAGCTAAAAATTCATGATTGTGAAAGGCCTACATGTGACAAAAGTTCTAGGTTGAGATATGATCCATTTTAAAGAGTTCAGTGTGGATAATTACTCCTGTTTGCTTTTGTAGGTCACGTACTTACCCAACCCCTCAGACTCAAACAGGCAGGTTTCTCCGACGCCCACCTCTCGACACCATGACAGGAAGTTAGCTGTGTTGTCCCGCGCAAAAAAAGAGCCAGAAGGAGCACTCGCCCTACAAGGGATCCTCCGGTTGGGGATTGGCTGAAAGAAATCAACTCTAGCATCAGTCATGAGTCTGACCCAATCAAAAGCTCTGTTCATTCAAAGCAAAAAGAATGTCAGTTAAAAATTATTTTTCACAGTGAAACCAAAAACACCCATAACGAAAATGCCATTAACATAAAAAAGACTTTCTTATATAATTTACTGTATAAAAGGGCCCATATCCAACATGTTTTTGTATTCATATTTTTGGGGTTTTATGTACCAAAAACTCATAACTCATTTTTATATGAATGATTCATTTTTATATTCTAACCTTCCTTTGTTCCTTACAATTAAACAGACTTGTTACTGTGCCTTTAATGTTGATACACAGTAGTATGCAAAAGTTTAGGCACTCGTGGTCAAATGAAATATTTTGTTTATTGAAAATAAGTTAACATACTCACTACAAAGAACACACTTCTAGACATTTTAATGCAAAATCACTGTTTATGTGCAGAATTTAACACACTGGGGGAAAAAAGTAAACCATAACATTGTAGCATGTGCACAATAGTGCTGTAAAATTTGAAGAAAAATGTCATATTTCAGTTTTGTTCCTGTAGAGGATGTAATAACTTATTTTCACCCAGAAAATAAAGATGTGACCTTTGCATATGACTGTGTGCAAATGGTTTCTGTTTTGATTGGCTGCCCTGTATTGTGCTTTATTCAAAAAAGTCCAGGCCCCTTATAACTGAAAAGTGCTGTATGCTGAAAGCATAGACATATAACAATATATACCTTTTTGTGACATCACAAAAACAAATGATAATATATATAAAAAATAGAGTGGGGAGTGAATGGTTTGCTTCTAAACTTTATCAATGTTTACATATTACACACCTATTAAACATCAAACCCTTTCAAAAAATGAGGAATATTTCTTTTCCACGATATGGGCCTTTAAACGCATCCACACTTGAAGACTAACCCACATGTTTTATGAGGGGTATTTTTCTAATTCTCATGGATCACATAATTTAGGCAAGATCTTTACAGAGTGTCTCTAGTTCAGTTTAAACTGGCTTCAACGTGGATTTGCACATCATTAGAAACATCAGAAATCCCCTCTTCCACCTCCCCCACATTCCCTCTCTCCCTCCTCCTTTCCTACCTTCCCCTTCCTGTTTTCTCCTCTCTCTCTCTCTCTCTCTCTCTCTCTCTCTCTCTCTCTCTATAGACATTAGCTAAGCAGACATCACCCTGTTACCCTGCAGTTCTCGCCCTCTTTCTCAGGGGTCTAATCACTGATCACTGTCTGATCTTTTCCCTTGTGTCGTCCACAGCTCTGGAGGAGTTACTCCCACCCTCTGCTCTCAGATCAATACTGAACATGATAAAGAGCGACGGCACTACAGAGGCTCAGCTAGATGCAGACACAGAAACTGCTGGGAACCAGCGATAGAAAGTCAATAAATACACCACTTACTCACACACAGGGAGATTTATGCAGCATATGCTTTCATACAGGATATGTGTGTCTGAGTCTGAGATAGGTATGGTGATGTCATGCTGGAAGAATGAGGTCTACAGTGGATCAGATTTTTCTCCAGCTTTTTTTCCCTAGAACTATTACTCTGGCTCCCCCACAGTCTCCTACAATAGCATCAGCATGCACACTCACTCCAAGTTCAATTGTTCACAGTCTCCTATTTTTACTTCTTCTTTTGGTCTGAATATATATGTACATTTTCAGGCAAAAGCTTGGGAACACCTACATTTCCGAAATGTTGTAATACAATATGTCGAGTTATTGCTGGTTTGCAATAACTCAACATATTGAATGGAAAAGTGAATGAAAAATAGACAGCAGTACTACCCTGGGAAAAGTGATATAACTGACACGAGGAGTGGGTGATATGGTAAAAAAATAACCACAATACTTTAAGATATTTTAACAATACAGAATATAAGTTTGCAAAACACAAATAAGCCCCAGCAGTGTTTTACATACTATGCTATAGTAAAATCCAATTAAACAGGACTAATATTCTCTTTGTAATAAAACATGTTCTTTACGAAGGTATGATATCCACAATACGCCCAGAAATGCATAGTAACGCAATTTATCACAATGATAAATATCATCATATTGCCCACCTCTGACACAGTTATGTTTTCTTGTTGTGATGTCAGCACTCAAACCTTTCAGCTGCTTAAATCACATTTGGGTCTTTCAATAATAGTTTAAGGAAAGAAATCAGTGTCAAATTATTATTTAGGCAAAGCTACGGATGCACGGATCCGTTTTTTCTCTCCGGATACTACATCCGGTATCTGAACTCACGATATCGGCTGGTATCGAGTGCCGATCCGATATCAGTGCTCTGTTAAAGCACTCATGTTACATAGTAGTAAAGTATATTAATACACAGTAAAGACTGATATACCATAGTGCAGGCAGTCATACACCAAATGTTTTTGAAATATTGTAACTTTTTTGATCTAGAATGTTTATAAAATCGCACAGTTGAACAGTGTAAAAAGCAGTATTGGATGTGGGTCAGTCGTGTCTGGCAATTTCTGATCCATTTAATAAGGTTGGTATTGCTGCCGATACTAGTCCACTATATCAGAGTGCATTACCAATTCATACCAAGCATGAAACGTTGATGAATATGAAGCTGAGTGCAAAATATACCCATCATTAGCAAATAAGAATGTTAACAGTTTTTTTCTTACCTAACTAAAAAGTGAGAGTAAAAAGGTGTCTCTAAATATTTGATGGGCCACTTTGGTACTGCTGTATTTCATAACTCTACTATCATTATCCTGACAGGTAGTGTTGCACATGGATAGCTTTTAATGTACTTATTACTTTGATGTTTGCCTATAGCCACACCTCTATATAACTGCTGCCAAATAATGCACTCCAATGGGGATTTAATGTTATGGCATAAAATTTATAGCCAGGCCATTAAGCCTGAAAAGGGTCCTGCTGTAACTACATAAAAATATTGACCGAAATGAGGCATGATGCACTTGGAGTGGATGGAAAATTAAGTATGGCATGAGTGAGTATGAAATCTGTCATTACATAATAAACAGTTCAGCTGGAGCGAAAAGCAGACACAAGAGGAGCACTATATTGGACTGATGAATACACGAGTGCCTTCTGATGTTCTGTCATGTCTGCAGGACAGAGCTTCAGGTCCTGTGACTTTATCTATAAACACCACCCTCTCAATTGTCCTTTAACAGTCTAAGACCCCTGGTCCCTCTTTTCCTTTCACACACACACGTGCACATCTACGTCAGTTCAACTTGTCCTAACTGGTAGCTTTTGTCTCACACTCTTCTGTGGTCTGCGTGATCAATAGACTCCAGCATTCCATCTCTCTCTTTTTCATTTCTCTCTCTTTCTGTCCCTCAGGAGCCATGACTTCAGATATTTCCACACATCTGCCCCCCACCCTCTCTGTCTTTCTGCAGAAAGCAGGAGACCCAGTAAACACTAGTTGCTTGAAACACACATACACACACATACACATATATATATGGAACAAAATATATATTATTGTACCGTTAAATCGTTTTTTGTTGTTTGGCCTTTTTAAAAAAATTACTTGATGCATGCCACTGCCCATATAATCATCATGTCTCAATATTCTCCCCTGACAACAGTGAAAACAGGTTTTTTAGAAGAATATGATCAGGCCAAAAATTACAGCTAATATTGTGATTAATAATGCACTTGATAACAGCCCAAAATCAATATTTGAACTAAGCATAGACAAACGTGAAGGAAGAAAAATATTGCACCCTTAAAAATAAAATATTGGCCCTTAAGCTCTGTCTAGCAAGTAAAATAAAGGAGAGTTTAAAATCAGTTCTTTCTCTGTTACTTGGCCTAGTCATACATGTATTCATGTAGTCATTTGTTTCCTATCATTATATTGACTGAAAGATGATGCCTTTGAAATTTAATCTCGTCCTTCAGGGCTGCCTTTGTAATGTTTCACAGAACCAGAAGGATCCCAGTGGAGCCATGGAGCAGATTCTTCCACTGCATAGTCTCTGCATTATTTTTCTCTAACAAATTATGATATTACTGCCAATCTAATGAGCTCTCCCACAGAAACAGGCCTCTAACTCAGCTTTGCACCATCTACTCCATAAAGTCAGGCACTAATCATTAAAGTACATGTAAAATAAAACTTTGATAACAGGGCGCATCGGGATATAACTTTTTAAAGGTAGAGAAAAGGTGATAGAATTTAGCGTAGTAATGACCTGCGTGGTGTGGTTCCTTTGCTCTGTTATTCTTGAGGGGCTCTATTAGCTGAACTGTAGGGAGTCATAAACAGTAAAAAAGCCCATTATAGAGACTCTGAAGAAGCTGGGCTTCAGCCAACAAAAGCAGAAATATTTTCTTAATTTACCACCAAAAATCTCCCGCGCTTAATGCCTTTCCCATCTGGGGGAGTTTTGAGAAAAAAAAGTTAACGACTCCTCGCTATCGTTAGCCAGCTCTGTATAAATCAGCACGCTCAGCATTTTTCCGAAGTTCACCGTCCCACAATGGCGAGTTTTTGGGAGGAGATGGCAAGTGGCCACGACTTTAGACAAAAGTCTTTGTGTGAGAGAGCATTGTACAACAAAGTCCAAATGCTACACACACACATCCCATGCCATGCACCTGAAACTGAGACACTGGGATCAGTCCAGCCTTTTTAAGCTCGAAAAACATATAAGACTTGAGTCGGCAAGCTGCAGTCATTCAAGACATGCAATGAGTCCATGAATACCGTTGCTATTAGATTCAAAAAATCCATCACTGGACTGTGTCTTGGCATGAGATAAGTCACATTTCCATAAAGGGTCCTGGAGTGAAACTCGAATTTGCAAAGAGCTGAAGCATGAATATGTAATGTCACAGTTCTGCTATAGCCTATGCATGTAAGGTTATGAAATGAGTTAATTTATCCAGTGGTGTACATGGAACCACAACTTCAACTGTATGAAAAAAAACACTGAATGCCCTGTATTTGGTTTAAGACATACTCCAGTAGAAGTGAAAACCTATACACCTATGAATGGTTCCATTACCTCTCCAAGGCAGTTAGCTACTCTAAGGAGGTTCCATATGACTTATTAGTGACAATAAAAAAGCCAGCGGCCTATGACTACTAGTGTTTTGTCCATGTTTCAGGTTCTCCTAATAAGAAAGGCATGCAATTTCCTAATCTGGATTGTGGAGGCCATGGATTGTGGAGACATCTGAAGACACTGATATCTTACATTTTTAGCCAAAATGATCAATTTCATCAAGTGGTGGTCTTACAAATTGCCAAAAGTTGCAAAAATGGGTTATTCAGAGATGTCACAGAAGAAGAAGGTTCCTTAAGGAATTTTTGAATGGATTGTTCTCTAGCCTCTTTCTGCAAGTCCTCTGAGGCTGCTCCACAGGCAGAATAGAAATGAACTAAGATATCTTTAATTAATATAATCAAATAAAAAGGTCTGCATCAATAATAGAACCCTCTTATTTAGATAACTGTGTGAAAAATAAATACTGTAAAAAGTTAAACTGGGTTGGGGGGACTGACTTGTCCACTGAAGTGGACACAGGATAAAACTGACACCTTGTGAGCTGACCCGTAATCTTTGTCAAATAAAAGAAAAGTAATAAATAATAAAGCACAGTTCAGTAAAAGCTGTGGTTGTATTATACTGTCATTTTTAATTTGGATGAAACTGTAATTAATGCAATAAAACAGAACGGAATTGCAACTCTCACGTGATCTTTACTCTCTGAGTGATCTGTGGCCGCTTAGATTGGCTCTTTGCCGTTGTTCTCTGAAGACATTTTGCCTGGGGCAGTTAAAGTTTATTAAAAACAAAAATTACAGTTTTTCTCTAGAGCTGTACATCCAAGCCAAGAATTATTTGGGAGCCTTTATTTTTATGAGTATAGAAGAAATAGAGACTATTATGATCTAATAAGAAGCACAGCAATGGGTAAAGGGCATGTTACCTTCTTAGGTACTAAAGTGCTGAGGGCTGATTCTGGTGAATTGAGGCTCAATGGGAGACCTTTGAGCTGCATGTGCTGGAATGAATGATGATGAGTGTTAGAGGGTGGTTACCTTGCCCGGTGGCGACAGTTCCCCATCGCTCTGTCTGAATTTCTCCTGCAGTGTCTCAGCCAGCTGACATAACAGGAAGCCATTATCTAGCCTGTCCATGAAACTCTCTGCTGTGATCTCCACACCTGAGAGAGAGAGGGGAGGGAGGGAGAATGACAGAGTGAAAGAGCAAGCAAGAAATAATTAAAAAACAAAACTCAGCAGAAAGACACTCTCAGATTCTTTGCTCATGGCTTAAAAGTGTTTAAAGTTTTATTCTGCCTTCCTCAGCATTATTTTAGCAAACAGAGCACACTGTTTTGCTGAGTTAAAGGACCTATATCATTAAAAACAGAAGTTTTCTCTTTTTTTAATAAAAAACGTTTGATGTAATATGGCCCTAAATTTTCACAATGTCCCATTTACCTCAAAGTCCATGCACTGAGCTGGAAAAGCCTATTGGAATTTATTGTTTGTGTAATGAAGCACAACACCGGAAAGTCAATTAAAACAGAGCTTATTTACATATATCAACCTAAAATGCCCAGTAACAAAGCCGGCCCCTTTTAATTCTAAGGGATAAAGAGAAATTGCAAAACGGTCATGTAACAATTAATTATAAATTTGAATCCCCAGTCCATGCATAAATGCACACTAGGCAGCAAAAACAGCCCATTTCGTGACATCATAAAAATAAATACAAATATCCGTCTAGTCAGCCTATAGTAGTTTAACTCGCTCTATCATGTTGAATCTATAAGTGTTATAAGAAACTCTGACTAGTTTTTGAATGAGGCACAATAAAGGGCAGCCAATTAGAACAGCGGTCTTTTATATCTGCGTCTTAAAAGCACAGTAACAAACTCAGCATTCCAATGGATAAAGTGAGGTTGGAAAATGGCCATGGAGAAATTTATTAGGACTGTTTATGATACACAAAAAGAGACAAATGTCATAAGGGGGAAAAGTGAAGAAATGTAAGTTATGGGACCTTTAAAGTATTTGAGTAAAGTACATTTCAGTGTCTGGAATACACTAATGAATTGCTCTGTGTATAAGCGAAGAGAGGATTATTGCATTGCTTGGTGAGCCAAGTACTGATAAACAAGTGCTCCATTGAGGGGGAAAAAGCACAAACAGCAGCGCTGATGCTTGAGCAGGAAACAGCTGATTGTTTTTGCATAGTAGCCCAGATAACACACACACACATACACACACACACACACACACACACACACACTTGCACACAGATACTACGCTGATCAACATGTGGCTGCTGCTTTTGACTGGCTTCCAGACGACCATTCCTTCTCAGTTAGATCACCCTGAAACAGGAGGTGATGGCAGGGGGTTGGGGGTGTCTGTGGAAAGAGAATATTTTTTCATCTATTCTTTTTCTAAAGGAGGGGGTGCATTAGTGGTAGAGGGGGTTTAGATGTTTTAATGAGTTCCAAATGTGGCAAACGAGGCCAGCGGAGGGAGAGATTGAGAGTTTGTGAAATCCCCTCCGTTCTCCTCCCGCCTCCTCTCCTCCTCTCCTCCACTCATTCTCAGAAAATTCTCAGAAAAGAGAACATCTCCACTGAGAGACTCTGATAAACACACAGAAATCAATACATTTGAATCACATTAAATCACACAAACATTTTGCATAACCAAAAAAAGCATAATGAAATATTTCCCAGCTAATCACTTCTGCTTCTGAAAGTGGCCATGTGACTGTATAAATGAATGCAGCTATGCTGAAAACAGGTGGACACAAATATAAAATCATGATACTTGAAAACATTTTCACAATTGATGATACAATATTTAGGTTTCTGAGGTTTGCAAACACGTTGGAAAGAACAAATTGTCCTAGTAAAACAGTAGTGCCACATTTTAAAAAAGAATAAAAGTACAATTACTTTTTTTTTTATTGCAGAGATAAACTGTTTAAGCAGAAACACAAGACAATAATTAAGAAACTGACAAAAAGGTAAATAAATAATATAAAAAGGTGGCATAATGAATTAACATGTAACCAACTACTTGTTACTATGCAGTTTATGTAGTTACTATAAACTGATTGCAGTTCTTTACAGACTCACTATGATGTACATAATGTATATAATAGACTGTCCTTTTTTTACAGAGCACATTTATAAGCACATTTATATAGTTGTTCAGTTTTTTATAAAACATAGCTCATAGTTTTATGAAACATAGGTCCATAGATGTTTTATGTACTGTGCAAAGGTCAGAGACAGCCTTTATCTCTTTTTATCATTTTTTTCTTTATTTATCTTAATTTCCAGTCAAAACAACCATTAAGTAAAAGTTCTTTTTAAGTTTATCATTCATTTGTCAGCAAGCATTTCAGAAGAGATTAGATAAGATAATCCACTTGCACAAGGAAATGGAAAGGCAAAGGAAAATGTGAGAAAAGGAAAAATGTGGGAAAAGGAAAAAGTGAGAAAACAAAGTTTCCAAATCTGGAGTTCAAAAAACTGTTTATGAAAGTGGAATGCTTAAACGCACCACCAGACAAACAGTACTTAAAGCTTTCACCATTGGGAGAAATCAGAAAATTAAGCTCCACTCTTGATTCAGATCTGAAAAAAAATCCTCCACAGGTGTTTCTGTCCATCCTTCCACTGTGAGAAGACAACTCAACAGTATGAATCTGAAAGCATGTGTAGCTGTTAAGATGCCTTTACGGAGAAAAAGGAAACAGACAAAAAAGAACATTTATAAATCAAAGAAGTTGCTGGTGTTCTCAGAACAACGGAATGACCACCTACAGAGTCCAGACCTCAACACCACTGAATGTGTTTTCTGTTTTTCTCCTGACAATGAAAAATGAATAAGTTGTGCTTAATGGCCGTCTTGACTGGAAATTACATGAATGAAGAATGGTCTCTGACTTTCGCACAGTACTGGGTTTGTTTAGTGTTCAGCACTTTAGAAGTACTTAAGATACCCATGATAACCTCAGTGCATCATAATGTAAGCTATCACCACAAATTATAACATATTATCATATTGCCCGCACCTACATTGAATTTACATTGGTTCTACACAAATGAAATACATCACAATTTTGTCTTTCAATTATTTACTTTTGGCACTAATTGTGTAATGTAATATATTTATCATTTAGACGTGAATCAATGCATCTCTTTTATTCAGTGTAGAGCTGAGATATGGACAGGAAATCTGCCAGTGGTGGAAGCTTCCCCAGCTGTGCTCATACATCACACTCCTCACGCACATCTGAGGACAGATATCTGCTTTCATGTCCCTTTAGAAGCAGCCACTCTCACCACTAATGAATATTTAGCTTCAAGAAGCCACTAACAATCCAGATGAGTGGTTTGTGTGGTCCGCTCTGGCTCTAGGCTGACCAGAGGTGCTGCTTCTGCCTCTGCTGGCTGTGCACACCCTGCCCACTGCCAGACATTCCATTAATGTCCCACTCAATACACACACACAAACGCATGCAGGCACACAAGCACAGCTTAGCCAGAACCGTGACACACCACCATTCTTCTTCTCGTAATCTGTGTAATGCTCCTGAATCACTGCTGGAGTTGAGTGTTGTCCAAAATCTGAGTAAATGCTGGGAAACGTATGGAAACAAGGTCACATACATACTTTTAATTACCGCAAGAATGTGCAAAAACACATGAGAAAACCAGGGATTCTCCATGAACAAACCATATTCTTAAATGATGATCACATAAGCCATATGTACCCTGCCTATAACCAACACTGCAGCAGGACACACTGTAAGCTACGCAAATGATGTGAATTCTATTTGAACACATTCTCCCCAACTTGCATAGCAGCACATTTTCCCTCGGACACTATGATGACAGATGGTTTATTGACAGAGGTGACAAAGACATGGGGGACTATGTGGCTACTGTAATCCATGTTCCACAGAGAGAACAGAGCAGAATCAGATGCCAGAAGGATGATACTGTAAACCTGGATTAAATTAAACCTATTGACCCGTTTTTGTTTTCTTCTATTTTCAATTCCTTGTCAATCTGGTATTGATCAGTGTTGACCTCATGATGTTTTTTTTTTAAATTATATATATATATATATATATATATATATATATATATATATAAGAGACTCACATAGTCAATAGAGCAGAGGGTGCACTTCAAGGGGAACTCCAACAATTTTTCTAAATTTCTACATAATTAACTGGTTAAGATGTAAGCAAAGTCATTCAGAGTGGTTTGGTGTGAAATGCTACATTCTAAGGAAACTTACAGAATCAGAATTATTCACAGTGGTGGTGATAGGAACCAGACATCCACCTCTAAAAGCTCCCTCGCAGAAGCTTATTACATGAAATGGTTATGAATACACTGCCTGATGGCTGAGACATTGTTTTATGGTTGTTTTGTGATAAAGTATTGGCCAAAAATGTCTTGTTAATCCTTTTATTTTAATCCATTCATGATGGAGAGGTACATGTAGGACTTTGTGAGGCAAAACAGTCCTCAAAGAAAATGTATTTTTCACTAACTTACCAACAGCAAGCATTACGCATAAAAACTCAGAGGACACGTGTAAGTTCACTGGTGGTTTTGGATAGTAAATAAAATAGCTATATTTGTGTTGTCAACATGGTGATCCCTTGTTCCTATCACCATCTCTATAAAGAAATCAGAAAGTAACTTTTTCTGCAATGAACCATTTTACATCAAACCACTTATTATTAACCACACATTATTTTGTTTACAATTCAATGACAGAAATATGCAAGATTTTTTAAACATTGGTGGAATTCCCCTTTAAGCCACTATCCCGGCAATGTATACTGCCTTGCACAAAGGTTTTCTAACATCTTTTTTTCCTTTGAGTTAATAGAATCTAAGTTTTTAAACACTGTTTTCTTCTCAGTTTAGTTGTGGCCAATTCAATCAAATTCAATTTAAGTCAATTCAGAATTGATCTATACAGTGCTTTTTCCAGCTTTTGTCACAATGCGGCTTCACAGAAAATTTGGGTCCAAGCCACAAATGAGCAATCCAAGCTCAGTGGCAAGGAGAAGTTTATGGCGTATTACAACACGTGATCTGCTATGTACTGGATGCATGACCAGACAGGCACTTAATTAAGTACACCTCCTTGTATCTACACTCATTGTCTATTTTATCAGCTCCACTCCAGTTTGTTAGCTGCCTTCAATGGTCAGCATCCCCCACAGAACCACCACAGAGCAGGTTTATTTGGGTGCACTGACATAGTAATGGCACGTTAGTGTGCATTGCGGTGGTACATGTGGATCAGACACAGCAGCGTTGCTGATATCCAAATTTTTCTCTGACCATGATGCTGTCGGTATGACTTTGAACTGAGGTCCACAACTCCTCTAATCATATGGAAGCCAAGCCGCAAGAACAGGACAGAATAGTCTTTTCTTCCAAAGGACCGTGGAGAATGTTAAAAACATACTTTTTATTGTTGGAGAAATATATTTCTATGCTGAACTAAGCTTAGGAAGGGTTTCACTTTTTTTTTTTACATTTTACTCCAACCTACATAAGTCAGCTGGATTGTGGTAATGTCCACTGGCAAAAAACAAACAAATAGACCAAACAAACAAAACAAAACAATTAGTAATTGTGTATTGCATGCTGATGCTGCACATCAGTGACACTTTGTGTAATTGTTCTGCTTAGTATCAGCAAAGAACCAAAGTAAAGGAACTTGCAGCGGCCCCGCTGACCCCTTCTTACCCAGCATGCTGGTGAGCCAGAGCGCCAAGTCCTCCTTCATAGGCAGCAGGCTGGCCTCATGTCTGCTGGCCAACCACTGGCTGTACTGCTGCAGGTCAGTAAGTCCGGGGCCAGCTGGCTGCTGCTTAGGGCTCAGAGAGCTACACATGCTGCTCCTTCCTTACTGACATAGAGAGAGAGAGAGGGAAGAGAGAGAGAGAGAGAGAGAGAGAGAGACAGAGAGAGAGAGAGAGAGGAGAGAGAGAGGGGGATAAAAAGGTCATTAAAACAAAAAGCCCATTATATAGATTTCTTTGTGCTAAATGTGTAAACAAAGTTTACACAACAACGGCAAACACTCTATCAGACAGCTATATATAATTAAAGACACATAATCACACCTTTATTAAACTCTATGTCCATTTGTCTTGATTTGTGCTTTTGTACAAACTACTGGCTTGCAATGATTTCTGAAAAGTATAAAACAATTATTGAAAATGTAAAATCATTCATAAACTTATACTTGAGAGAAAGCATAGTTTTGCCTGTCTAAACAGAGCGTTAGAGGCAAAGTGAGGGCCAGAAAGAAAGTCAAGACCTGAGTGCACATTTCACTGCTCTCTGATTGCACATCACTGAACGGCCTCTGTTGAACCATTTTCATTTTCTCATGGCTATCACTACAGCTTTCTTTCCTCTGATCCTCCTCTCACTCCTCCTCTCTCTTCACAGGTCTTGGCCTTCCTCCCCAATTCTCTCATCACTTTCCAGGATAAGTCTCACTTTCATGTGCTTTTATTTCCAATTTCTTTTTTCTTTATGTTGAGGACTGGATCCAACAACAGCTCCTCTGAAGGTACGTGTAGTGATCTCCTAACTCAAAGGGCTTTCACACAGTAACACATCTGTGTGATTAACTAGAACTGAACACAGCTTCTCACAAGCAATTTCAAAGTTAGTTGTGACTTTGAGTGAGTGACCTTCTGTTCCTCTCTGTGTGCTGACACTGGACAAACAGCACAAAAAGCACTCAGGAAAAAACTGAAAGCAGTTAAGTGGCTGTTCATTAGTGTCTGTGTATGGAATGATCACTGCTGTTGTCCACCTGGATAAGGCTTTGTGCTTTCACTTGTGTGCTTTATACACAGTTAGAGCTGAGGGGAATTCTCTTCATCAACCGCACTGTTTAACTGACCTTTATCACAACCTCCTCGCACACAGGAGCTCTTTCATAGAGAGAGAGAGAGGAGAGAGAGAGAGAGAGAGAGAGAGAGAGAGGGAGAAAAACAGAGAGATAAATAGAGATAGAGAGGGAAAAAAGAGAGAAGCAAAGAGAGTGAGAGATAAATATAAAGACAGAGAGAAAGAAAGAAAGACATACATAGAGAGATAACTAGTGAGAAAGAAAGAAAGAAAGAAAGAAAGAAAGAAAGAAAGAAAGAAAGAAAGAAAAAGATAGCAAAAGAAAGAGTGAAACAATGAGAGTGAGAGAGTGAGAGAATGAGAGTGAGAGAGAGAGAGAATGAGAGAGAGAGAGAGAGAGAGAGAGAGAGAGAGAGAGAGAGAGAGAATGAAAGCGATCAATAACAGAGCTCTCTCTTGATGGGAAACTGAACTCTGAAACTGAAGTGTTGCTCACAGTGGGCTCTTTGGCAGGTCAGTTCTGCTCTGGCACACAGGTGCTTATCCTGAAAACATGAAGACTTTCTCAGCGCTCACTGCTGCCAGCCATTCAGTGCCACTGCAACAATGTGATGACTGTCAGACCAAGCCCTTCTATCCAGGAGTCCTGCTTCAGTCCCTGTCAGCTGAGAAAATCATTCTGCACAACAGCACCTCACAGATCTTTGACTGGAACGCACCATATTTATATTAACCAGCTGCCAGCTGTGGCATGTGGACTTCCAGCTACAGACAGCTGTGGTGTTGCAGTACAGGTACAAGCAATGGGACCATCACAGATGAAAGACTCACTCAAGAGCCCTGGGCCATGTCCCGTAATGTACTAGCCAACTGCAGTGCAGTTCACACAGGGATGAAACGGGATGTAGGGGATGATGCACTAGACAGGTGTGTAGCCCACCAGCTACACACCTGTCTAGTGCATGAAATGAAAATGGTGCAAAATGCAATGAAAATGGTGCAAAATGCAATTTGTCTTGTACTTTTATAATACAAGATGAACCCAAACGCACCCTGATGCCTTTGTTTCAACCTTAAACAAATAAAAGTGTCTGCCTAAGTTCTTCTTAGGTCATCAATAATTTTTGGTGGCTGCTTTTACCATGGGACAGTTTAGACAGGCTGGATTGTTAACATTGCAGGTGGCCTCGTTAATGTCAACCTTACTACAGCAATATCTCTGGCATACAACACTACACTACAAAAATCCAGCCACTACATGAAATAATAATTAGAGTGAAATAATAGTGTAATAATACAGTACTCAGTGTCTGAATTGAGACACAGGTTTGCTCTCCAGATTTCTTAATGTGCTGACCTAACTATCATCACCTCCTTGCTTTTACAAATACAACTAAAAAATGGAGAAACAATGTCTTTTTTCATACCTATTTATATTAATATTACTTAAGAAATCAGAAATATCAGATAGCAGACGTATTATATAAAGGGCATGACTACAGCTTCTACATCCTTGTTTGCTCAAACAGGAGACAATTTAAAGTGTAGATCGGTATCATTGCAGGATGTTACAGGGTAGAAATATTACTGCCTTAAGCAAACAAAGAAATGACAACCTGTCAGTGCACATAAAATCTACTGGCTAACACTAGTCTAATATACATGCAAATGTAAACATATCTTACGTTCTTAAAAATAAAGGTGTCAAAAAAGGGGTTTCTGGAGCGATGACATAAAATAACTGTTTTGGTTCCATAAAGAACCTTTTAATCAATAGTTGTTTAAAGAATATTTGTAAACAAGATGTGAGTGTGAAGAACACTTTTTAAAGAACCTCCACATAAGACAAATGTTCTTCAACAAATAAAGTTTTTTTTCTTAGAACTATAGTTCAGTACCATTTAGGAACCTTAAATTTTAAAAATGCACTAATGCATTTCAAAAGCTAGTCTAGGTGGGCTGCATTTCCAGACTGCCAAATCATCGAAGGCTGTTCCAATACTTCGAACGCAGCCGAAAAAGCAACCTACATTCTGACACTTTTTGTAGACAAAACTGGAGTGGAGGTGGAAGTGGAAGTGATAATGATGATATTTTAGCATTATCATGATAAATTGTGTTATTGTGATAAACAATATGCTTTCTTGAGGAAATAATGGTTATCATTAGTATTTGAAGAACACTAAATGACTGCATGTTTTCTTATAAAAGAGAGCATAATTAGTCTCATTCAATTGGATTTAATGCAGCACTGTATGTAAACAAAAATTGTTGTATTCATAGTTTTGATGGCTGTTTTTAAATGTGTCATTTTGAACAGACGACGTCTTTTTCAGTGAGGTCCATGGTTATTTCAACATGACAGAGGTAAGCCACGTTCTGCAGCTGCTAAGCTTCCCTGCCTGCAGTCCAGAACAGTCTCCCACTGAAAACATGTGGCACATTATTACACTCAAATCATGACAACAAAGGCCCTGTACATTTGCTCAGCTGAAGACTTGTATAGCAGAAGCACTGCATGCTGTTTAATAGGGCCAGTAAAATGTAAAACATTAGTAAAGTATGCAGTATGCTATTTCTTTAGTTGTGTATCTGTGTAAACTGAATGAAGGATATGAAATGGGTTGAACATTTTAGCATGCAGGATAGAACTTCAAACTACAAATAAATGAATGTTTTGCTTGCCAGCCTACTATCATGAATGTTTTGGCTGCAATACCAAGTCATGGGAAAGGCCTACACACACAAGAAACTGTTGAGAGGAGCCAACGCTAGCTGAGGCCAGAGGTCAGTGTGCACACAGAGGTCCAAAATAAGGGGGTTTAATCAAAAGCAAACAGACTATGGCACTAAACAACAAGTAGCATGTTCTTTTTTCAATATCTGTAGCATGTCTCTTCTTGTATACATAGTAAATAATTGTATGTACAGTACATATATTTTTTCTGCCACCGATTTTTTTCTTCATAATTCATTTTAGTTGGTTAAAGAACTGACAGGATAAAGAAGTGTCAGGATTTCACATCCCTGTGCTGCATAGCCATAGCCTAAATTTTAACCTTTCTCACTGACCTTGACTAACACAAAGAGAGGAACCTGTAAAAGAAAGCCTTCAAAGTATGCTCTCCTGTTCAATAGAGGACTGTTTCAGTTACACGAGCTGAATGCTGTGTCATTCCCGATAGGAACAAAACATGCTGTGTGCTCCTGCTGTCCTCATTGCGCCTTTAGAGTGGACTCAATACCACAAGACAGGATTTTTTTTTCACTGAAATAATATATAAGGCATATGCCTGTTGATTCGTACATTAAGGCCTATAAACCATTACTACAGTGCCCTCAAAAAGTATTAGCACACTTTGACCCTTGGTAGACTTTAATGAAGTTCTTCAGGTTACTTCATCAAATGTCTAACAAAATGATATTTGTGTCAGAGAAAAACACTTTTAGCATGATATCAAACGGATGGTGGACTGGAGCCTGCAGAAGAATTCCAACCAGACTCCTCTAAGAGCACTGTAAAGAACAGAGATGGAAACGTCAAAGTCTGGAGCTGTTGTTCTTACAGCGGTGTCTGTGAGCTTGTGTTCATTGATGGGATCATGAACTCAGAAGTGTGCAGAGGCATTTTGGAAGCAAACCAGCAGATGTCTGCAAAGAAACTGCTCAAATGACAGAAGGGCATCTTTCAAAAGGATAACGATCTGAAACACACCAGCCACCCTTTGAAAGGTCTTGGAAAGATCTGTGTAAAATAAATGCCACTTGGTTTGACATTTCGTTCCCTAAACAATGAACTTAATACATTTTTAACTATGGCACAAGATTAATGTCCAAATACCTTTCAAGCCACCGAATATTGTACTTGGAGCAAAATATCAGTGCTCGATTTATCATGGTCTTCTTTCATACCAGTCTATCTGCACTTTTCTTAACATCAGTAAGACCACTTAAAGTGTTTAACTGCATTTCTTTATGCTTTTGACCATTACTTCATGCATTCCTTTCCCTTTCTATGAATTTTAAGAGGAAATAAGCCTCCAGTCTCTTATTTCATTGCTTTAGAAAATTCAGAAGCTACCACGCTATTATTCACACACTCACACACACACACACAGTAAAACAGAGACACACAGAGGACACACTCTCCTTTCTCTGTTCACTGATTATATCAATTAGAGCATCATCTTATCTCATCTGGGAGGTGCTTGAAAAGGCTCAAAGTTCAACATTTGTCAAACAAGCATGGGGATGTTGACAGCGGTGTCCTATTACCTGACTACCTTCAGTAGGATAGAATTTTACAGACTGGATTTAATTACTTTTACTGGAGTTTCTGCTTTTATTGTCACTGTTAAAAGCACAATAACTGCCTAATTGCTCACTGCTCACATGAAAAGAAAGTGTGCAGTCTGAAAAAACTGAAAAAAGGCAAAAGGGCCGAATATTCTGTTTTCAAGATGACATGTGTTCAATGCATTGTGCCTCCACAGTTTTACAACAACTTTAATATTTCAAAGCCGCAGCTATGCTCATATTCTCCCCATAGCTGCATCTATTTTTGTCACTTTTACAGAGAAGCCACAAGTGTGACATGGTGTATTACACAGAGGCTGTAAAAATTCCCATATGTATTCACTCCCTCACACAATAAGTCACTGCAAGACTGTATTTGACCACCCAGTCTGCAGATTCAGCGGTGGAGAAAATCTTTATGTTACTGTGCTCTGCATGCAGTGCAGGAGGACAGGTATGGGTTTAGCTGATGAGTGAGGAGTAGGACTCTGATATTAAATATTAAAGCTCACAGACTAATTAAAGCTTGGATGATCTTTGAACACTGATCAGGACAAAGTGCAGACACAAATAATAAAATGACTCCTTCTGGAGACTTCCAGAAAGAGAAAACTATACCTTTAAAAGTCAAGATATAATTAGGCTTCCCTCATTGGACTGAAACGCATATCAATGAAATGAACTAAAATAATTAGTGATGTTAGACCACAGTGTCAACTGAAGAGCAATAAATCAACAATCAATAAACAGCAATAAATCAACAAACTAAAGTTTCATATACGTTTGAAATAATAATTTAAAAACGTTGAATCTCACAGAATTTTAGTTTGAAAAAGAAAAAAGCTTGAATCTCCGTTTTACTCAGCTCTGCACTCACCTTCCACACCGCCTCGCTCTTTGAGAAACCTCTGCCCTGCTCAGTGCGTCCCTCCGGCTCTCTATGTGCATGCTTTTCTCCTCTGCTCTCTCTCCAGGCTCCCCCCGTTCACGCTACACCGCGGGGGTCCCACTGACATGGCAGAGGAGCGGTACGCGTGCTCGGTGCTGAGGGTGCGCACTCCTCTGAGCAGCGGCTGTGTGTAGCCCGGCTCTGATAGGGAGGCTGATCTGATGGGCTGCTGCTGTGCTAGAGGACTCGCCTGCTCATTCTTCCACTCCCTCTGCCTCCAGCTGGCAGACACGACTGTCCTTTTCCACTATAACTCCTAACTGAACATCTCGTGCTCGGGAGTTGTGGACACGGAGCCAAAGGAGTGCAGAACCAGCCTTGCAGTGAAGGTGCAGCGAGAAGCCTTTTAAATGTTTTCATGTTGATTGATTTGGTTTGAGGGAAAGTTCAACAGACAACGTGTTGTAGTTTTTCTCGCAGTGAAAAGTGTGCCAGTGATAAAGTGACTGAGTGTTTTACGACCACCTGATGAGAGAATTTTATGAGTAATTTGTGCCGGACAGATGTTTTTTAGGAGGCTTTTATTTTGAAAAATAAAAGGGTTCGCGGAAGCTTTAATCCACCAGGCGGGAATCCTGTTTGTTTATCCGCTGCTCGTGGACTTGGGTGCTTTAACTGTAGCTAAGGTCCTTGTTTTTTGTCCAGATCTTCTTTTAGTTTATCTTTACTGGTTTTCTATGGTTGTTTAAGTGTTTTAGGAACTCAAAGGAGACTCTGTGAGCTCCAGTCCGGCCGTGCTGTGAGAGTACTCAGCCGCTCCCCCTGAGTGAGTGAGAGTGTAGTAGCGCCGCATGGAGGCCGTGCTGGAGAACCTGGGCAGCACTTTGGAGCTCCTGGCAGTCTCGCAGATGGACTTTGTGAGTAAATGGGATACCCAGACGGCGGACAGGGCGTTTCAGTGGGCTGCGTACTGCGAACATGTCTACGCTCGTTTCCACCACAACCCCTCCGTTCGGCCGGTGCTGGAGGACCGCCTGCGTCTGACCAACGAGCGGCTCTCCCAGGCTTTACCCGGACATCGGCCTCTGAGCCTGGCCGACTTGTCTCAGTGCCGCCACAGGTTGTTTATCTGTCTGTTAAGAAACCCCCTGACTCCATACTTGGTTATTAAATCACTTTTCGACAAGTACCTATTGTTTGAGGATGATGGAGACACGAAACAAGGACGTGAAACAGACATGGACCTTGCTGGTCTAATTGGGTGCAAATCAGCTTGTAAACTTTTGGGCTCCTTTCCGTTAAACCCAAAGGAAAGTCCCGGCTCGGCCGCTGTAACTCAGACACAGGTTCAGGGCCTGATGCTCTTACAGCGCATTCACGCCTTGCAGCGCCTCCCAGGCAATGACAGTTACACCAAAGCATTGTTGGACGCAGTCCTTCAGGACAGTGGAGGTCTGGACCACTTCTCTGACATCATTACAGCTTCACTCCTGATGGAGGACAGCAGCAGCGAGCACACTGCAGCTCAAGACTTCCTCTTAGACTGGTTACACGGAGATGATGGTTTGCTCCACAGCATGTGTCACTCCTCATCTACTGAACTATGTGCCAGGCTTTCCCAGCGGTGGCCAAAGTTTAGACTTCTTTACTGGGGCATTTTGAAGAAGTGGGCATCTTCCTTGGAGTTTGATTTGACTGCTGGGGTATGGGTCCAGCAGTGTGACAGTGCTGTGTCATTTAAGACACTAGTGGACCATTTTAAGTCCTTATGGAGTTCACAGTTAAAAGAGGAGACTGAGAAAGAGCTGGAGGTGCTCAAAAAGGAGGATGGGGATTTTGATGTCCAGGGACTCAGTGTGTGGACAGACCTGCTCATTCAGCTAAAATGAATGTGGTTTGTTCACCTTTTGGACGGCTACAGCCGAGGGTTAAGGTGAACGTGTGTTTTGATGATTGCTGGAGTAATGATATTCATTAACTGTCGTCTGGTGCTTGAAAACCAGTTCCACTGGGTAATTTATAAACAAGCCTCAATGATTATTTATCTTAATATGGCAGCTGACCTCACCGTTTGGCATTTCTCCCTTGTTTGGGGAGAATAAATAACTCAATTTTAGCAGTTGTCCTGAAGACATTTATCCTTTAATTCAGCATGGTGGATTGTGCCTTCAGCAGACAGGGGGAGACAATGCTCTTTAACTAGCTACATACACGTGCTGTCAGACTACAGGGGTTCTGTTATACCAGTGCAGCTGTCAAACTCACCCCTTTCTGTAATCTCATGTTACGTAATAAAAATGAATTGTTAATTTTATGCAGACTTTAATGCACATAGTTGTTGCTGGAATTACCATGTTCCAGCAGTTAAGTTGAAGGCAGTGTGGACTGTTATTTAGGTTGAATGCATGGTGACCTAACCTCTCAAATCTGATACATCAAATCCGGTATAGACACATCTTTCTTCTCTTGCATTATAACAAAAACGGGCTTCCCACCACATCTGAATATATTGCTATATTTCTTATTGAACGTGTTGCACGTTCCTGTATTGCAAAGGATTTAAGTAGAGGAGCAGAATTCAATTGAGTGGAGTGGGGGGGGGGTGACAGATGGGGCATTTCTCATTGCCTTGGCAACGGTTGGCATAGGGCCTCAGAGCCCATCTTAAATAGGAAGTAAAGGCCGAATGGTGAATGTGTGCGCCTCTCAAATTGGTCCCCTGAGGATACGCTGTCGCGTGCTCTGTTGGCTAGATTTCATCTGCTTCTCAGATTAGGACAAGGAGAGAGAGTGAGGCCTTGCACGGGGTCATTCTGCATTTAATGATTAATGAGGTCACTTGAGCCTGTCAACAACTGCAGTCCGACCAAAGCACTAATAACATGAACATGAAATCTCAGACTCGTGAAACGTGTATCAGCCTCTGAGTTATGAGGTTTCAAATTAAATAATGAAAAGACAAGTGGGTGTTTCTACACTCATGTCAGAGCTGTTTACTCTCTGTTAAATCTTGGATTAGCTCAGCTCACAATCTTCTTGTACTGCAGATCCAAGCGGTGACAGAGAAAGTGATAAAGCTCATTAGACTTTGTTAGGTAGAAACCCATGAAGATGAGTGGCAGTGATGCCAATAAATCCACACACTAATGCTGTGGGACACACGTTAGTTGTCAGATTTGGAACAGGCCAGGGAAGTTTGGTCTCATGATAGAAAGTATTAGACGATTAGCATTTAGAATATTAGATAGTCCTGATATACTTGCAGTATTTGAACTCTAATTTATTCTTCTCATAGAATCTCGCTCTAGAGTTGCTGCTGTATCTCTGACACTCCAGCAGATGAGAAGCTTTTTTTTCTCTTTTTGTCTTGTCCTTGTCTCCTTGGAAACCATGGAAACGTGTTTTCTCAGCACAGATATGTAGGGAGACAGCAGCAGCAGGCCAACGCAAACACCAATTTAGCATGCGCAAAGTAAGAAAATACTGATGAAAGGCTGTCCTTGGAGGACCTCAGGCCACACGTCTGGGCATACAATTGTTTTTGTTAGTCATCTATCGCTAACAAAAACAGTTAATGTAAATATTTATGTTGATGTGGGAACACAATAAGAATACATAACCTTTTTCTGTGTACTTAAGATTTTTAAATTTATTACATCATTCTTTTATCCATCCCTCATTTCAAGGACATCTATACCCCCCAGCCCCAGCCCAGTGTGTGTAGTGAGGTTCCTTGCGTCTCCCAGTATTAAGTAAGCTGGTTGGTTGGTCTAAGCTTTGGCTTCTGCTCAGCATTTTCTTATGGTTAAGAGAAATTACATCCGAGATCTTAGCTGTTCTCTTTACTTGCAAAATGAATGCTTCAAGAATGCAGAAATCCCCTCATTATACGGACACCATGTGAATTGCAGAAAACATTCATTTTCAGTAATGAAATCCCATCGCACACCCTTCATTATAATTCAGGGCCTTTCGTTGAATCGCAGCGCTTGGCAGTGTCTCAATAAAAGGGAAACACCAACAAGGGCATGGCTCGTTAAGCCTGCGATGAAAAACCAGCTCACAGAGGCAGCATCTAGCCAAGGGTCAGTGGTTTCACTACAACAGGGGAGAGAGGGGATCTATCAATCTGCCCACAGGAGGATAACACAACTGAGCCGTAGACAAACACAAACGGCAGCGTGCAGCTGTCATCTGTTCCTCATTTAACTAGGAGAGCCTTTTTCATCAGGCTTTCAGTCTGGAAACTCAAGGTGTAAAAGGTTTTTCTCAGTGTAGGTTATAATGAGGGTGTTTGATTGCAACGTTCGTAACAAATGATTTACTGGCTTCCCTTCTATTTTGGTACATCTATGTTTACTTAATCAAGACTTAACACAGAATAGACAACTACATACAGCATATAGGAGGCAGTATGGCCTCTGACATTGCCTGGTAGCTGTTCTTGCTCTGAGGTGTGATGCTCAGCTAATAAAGATCCAAGATAGTCTCTGATTTGACTTGCAGATGGTGCCAAATAAGAGTGAGAACGTGCTGCAGCAGTCAGGCTGTGTGACTCATGTCTGTTCCTCAAGTGAAATGACTTCGCTGTAATTAGCAGCAACATTGCATGTCTAGTGCTGGCTGATCACTTATTCTCTCTTAGATCAACGGCTCAGCTTCACACACTGCTGGAGGGGGTGCTGTGGGGAAGCAGGGACAGAGAGTAAAGAAGGATAATGGGTAGAAAAGGGAAGGGCAGATGTATCTGTCACATTCTGAGATATGTCACTTCTTCACCGTGATCAGCCACAACCAAAAAGTACAGAAAGTGCAAGTGGGATGAAGTAAAACTGCAGGGCATGCAAGAAGGCTAGGGAGTGATGGAAATATAAGATATACAATATTTAATAGAACACTTAAGTGAAAAATCCAACTTGTTCAATTTGCCCCATACTGCATAAGTAGTCAGCCAAGATATGTTTGGTGTCCAAACTTTGCTTCATTAGCTTTGCAGTGGAGCTGTGAAATGTAGCTCTGACAAATAATGGAGGTTTTTACTTACCAGTTAGAATTGTGCTAAATCTTCATATGCTTTCCTGAGAAAGTCATTATTAATCTGAAAGAGACTTAACTGTATAGTATTTGATACTCTATTGCATACTGTTATTTATAAAAATGGACCAAATTATGTACATAGCTAAAAAAGTTAGGTTAGCCTGCCTGTGATGTGTTCATTTATATGGTACGTGGATGTCATACAGTGTCAGAAACCACATAAGCAAGTCTG